ACATTTAACAATACAGGTTATGGTTTACTGCTGCAAACAAATTATTTTTAACTCATTTGGATTATAAATTTTAAGATAACAAGTGTGTCACCTGTGGAACTAAAGAACAGTAGTTAATACACTATTTGTACTTTGTACAATTATCTAATAGTTGCTAATACAGATGGCAATATATAAAAACAAAGTGGGTATATATGTGACATAGTAAGATTTTTTTAATGAGCAAAATAACTACCCAGCCATTTAAAGATAAGGCTCATAACATGCCGAAAAAAGAACAGCAGTCAGAACCATATGTTCATACTGCATGCTATTTCTGGCAATAAACCCCAGAAATTTATTTCTGTATTTACTAAGTTTGTTCTAGTATAAAATATATGACATAACTTTAAACATAGGATGGATCCCATATAAGTTTTAATGTAGCAATTCTCCACATTTAAGTCACAAATAAGCATGAGTATATAAAAATTCCTATTTCACTTAATCTTACTGGTATCATTCTGACATTTTGATTGGCTGTTCCTTCTGGAGAGAAAATCCTTGAAGTTGGAATGCTGCAATTTTTATGCTGCATTGCTACAGAAGAAAGAAAGTGCACAACATCTGAAGGCAGGTAAGGTGAATGCATATGTTCAGCTTCTTCTGGAAGATTTAATTCCTTGTGTTTTCCAAGATCTTCATCATCACAGCAGTTGTTTTCATGAGGATGTACTTCAACTTCTACTACTGTATTTTGATTTGCAATGGTAAGTGGATACTTGAAGTGAGCTAACAAAGTCTCTGCCACATTTACAGTGCATAAATTATTGTCTTGACTAGACAGCAATCCTTCCTCAATGGTATTGTTAACTAATGCAGTTTCAAGATTGAAGTTTTCAAAACTAACAGGATTATTTTGACTAAATATTTCAGTTACAAGTCCACTGTCAATTACTGATCTTATATCAAGCAATATCTGGTTCTCCATAGTCACAGACAGACCGTCAACTGGTTAATATTTATTTTTTTAATTGAAGATAGTTAAATTTTCTATTTCAGTATTCTTCTGAACAGTTTTTCTATCTAGAAGTGAATGAAATAGTCTTAACCAAACAACACATACATATAATACTGAAGATCAACCCAGTAACATGTAACTGTAATGCTGGAAGGGGTTGTTGGGGTTCTGAATCTAGCTTTCAGAAAACCCAGGCCACCATGCCAACACAAACAAGCTGCTTTTACTGCAAGCACACATTCTTTGTAAATTTTAAACACATTAACAGCATTCAGGCTTAAATCAGAATTTTTCTAGCTAGCGTTAGTACTCATAAAAAAAATCAGTCAAATTTAACGTAGTACGGCTATAATTACACCGTTTTGTGTCAATAAGTAGCACGTTAAGATCAAACCTCATCTGTACTCGCCATGTCACTATCGGTAGTCACAGACATCGCAAGCCGCAGCGTGTCTGGCCAGCGTATCACAAAGCTGCCGGCCGTTAATAAGACACACCGCCACTGCTACGACTTCTGCATCTGGACTACGGCGACACGGGGCGGGCCCGAGCTGCCCACGGCCCGAGCGGCCCACGGCCCCACCCTGGGCTGGGACACAGCAGCCCCCCGGAGGCTCCACCTTCCCTGGCCCCGCTGCCCCCACCACTCCCAGCCCCGGGGCTGCCCCTGCCCCTGCCCCTGCCCCTGCCCCTGCCCCTGCCCCTGCCCCTGCCCCTGCCCCCGCCCCGCCGGTCTCCCGGGCAGAAGGGGCCGTGCCGCTGCCCCGGCCCGCGGCCGTTCACCTTCCCCACAGCGCCGCCCGCGCGCCGCCGCCTGCCGCCCCGCGGGCCGGTAACGGCGGCTGCGCATGCGCCCGAGCGCGCCGCCCGCCCCGCCCGGCGCAGGGACAGCGGCGCGGGCCGGGGCAGCGCGCGAGTGTTTGCAATTGCTTTTCTTTGTTTTGTATTTAAAATACCATTTCCCTTGATCTCGCATTACACAAGTGGTATTTAAAATACCATTTCCCTTGATCTCGCATTAACCGGGACCCTTGTACCAATTAATAGAGGCTATTTGTTATAACCCATGTATAAGATCACTACTCAGCACGGGCACTGTGGCCGGTTCTATACTCCACTGAACAAGGGAGCCACAGACACACTAGTGAGGGTCCAACAAGGGGCCATGAAGATAATGAAGGGGCTGGAGCATCTCTCCTCTGAGGAACAGCTGAGAGAGCTGGGACTATTTGGCCTGGAGATACAAAGCGGAAGGGAGGGTGCAACGAACATGGAGCCACGCTCTATTCTGTGGTGCACAGTGCCAGGACCAGAGGCCTTGGGCCCAAACTGAAACAAACGAGTTTCCCTCTGAACGTCAGGAAACACATTTCTACCATGTGGGTTACCCAGCCCTGGCAGAGGTTGCCCGGGGAGGCTGTGTGGTCCCATCCTTGGAGACTCAAAACGCCACGCGGATGTGGCCCTGGACAAGCGGCTGGGTAGGTCGGAGTAGATTGGATGGTCTTCAGACGTCCCTTCCAACTTCAACCGTTCTGTGGCTCTCTGAAATAGCTGACTTTCATCTTATGCTCTTAGAGCCCTTTCTACAACTCACTCTGTCAATCTTGGAATTGTCACCATAGTGCTGTAAACACTTAAGAGTTTAGAAAACACTCTAAAACTACCAGGCCCCTACCTATGGCCGTGTCAGATAAAGAAGGTTTTGTTGAAAGCAGAAATTGAACCTGAGCTTTTCATATTATACATTAATGTCTTCCCTTTTAAGAAATTTTGTGTGTTTAAAAAACCTCACAGCAACTAAAAACCACCCAAACCAATTTCAAGCTACCTTTCATCCATAAGGTGCCATACAATTAATACAAGAAGAAACCAGAATCAGTATTTCTTTATGCTTTTGGTTACAAACTTCCACCCCACTGGACCCAGGTTTGCACCCATGAAAGTTAGGGAAAGACAGAACAAAACAAAACATGCTTTCTCCTCCCCTCTCAGAGGTTTTAATCTAACAACTAAATTCATTAATGTCAGCAGGAGCTGACTAATCCCATGTATCACATACAACCACAGCAACATTTTCTGAGTGTAAGATATACTTGCTACCCTTAAAAACAGGCCAACGGAAGAGGGGGAAAAAAATCCCCAAAAGTAAATCAGTATTTTTTGTGCCTAGAAAGTTTCCATAGAGCATTTCTGTTCATATTGAACATATCAATTTACAACTTCCAGTATCCAGCCTTGGTGGGAGATGTCTGAAATACAACTAGGAACTTACAGTATCTAAGAGATGAAGTGTGAAATTGAAATCACTGTGTTCTTTCATGTATCAAAGCCTGCAACTTCTAGAAAAGCAGCAAGCTAAATGACTGTACATGGGCTACTGCAAAAAACTATATGGTGGGGTTTTTGTGTAGGCTTTTTTGTTGCTTCTGTTTGGTGTGGTTTTTTTTGTTTTTTTTTTTTTTTTTTTTTTGTTTTGTTTTGTTTTTTTTTTTTTTTTATTAAACAGCACATTTAAAGGATAGAAAATATCCTTTCCAGCTGTCTCAAAGTAGTCCACAGATTCCATGCAATTTCAAAGGTGTTTTCAGGTACTGGGAATCTTCAGATAAAGCAAACATTTTAACAACGTTAAAGCTCCATACCTGAACTAGTTGTCCACTACCTCACCATTCATATTCTATGGATTATTCACTGTCAAGATCAAACCAGTGCTATTCACTAGCTTGCTGTGCTGGGTTTATGTGGTGGGTTTTTGGTATCAGGGAGGGGGCTACAGCAGTGGCCTGTGTGAAAAGCTTCTCAAAGCTCCCCCGGCTCCAAGTCAGACCCACCTCTGGCCAGGGCTGAGCTAATCACTGACAGTGGCTGCACCTCTGCAAGAACATATTTAAGAAGGGAAACCTGAAAAGGGGTTGGGACTTGTGAGGAAGAATTACAAGGACACCTATGCAGACACTGAGGTAAGTGGAGGGAAGGAAGAAGAAGGGGGGGAAGTGCAGACCCCGCTGTGTCCCGTGGTGAGACGGCAGGGCCACCCCCCCTGCCACCCATGGAGGTCACGGGTGGAGCAGAGGCCGGCCGGCAGCCTGTGGAGGAGCCCACACCAGGGCAGGTACTCGCGCTTAAAGGAGGCCGGGACTCTTCAGAGAGAAGCAGCCTCCATGGTTGTAGTTTGGCACTGGGAGGACTGTGAGACACGGGGGTCACCCACGCTGGATCAGCATGGGAACAGCTGTATCCCATGGGGAGGAGTCACACTGGAGAAGGCTCATGGAGCACTGTCTCCTGTGAGAGGGGAGCGATATGGAACAGGGAGAGAATGCCAGCAGTCCTCCCCCAGAGGAGGAAGAAGCAGCAGGACTGACTGCACCCTCTGTTCCCTGCCCCACTGAGGGGGAGGAGGTAGAGAGATCAGGAGCAGAGCTGAGCCCAGGAAGAAGGGAAGGATAGAGGGGAGGTGCTTTTAAGATGTGGTAATGCTTTTTACTGTCCTACTTTCTCTGTTAAGTGGTGGTGGTGTTAGTGTCTGTATTAACTTTATGTTCTTCTTCTTCCCCTAATGAGTCAGTCTTTTGCCCCTGACCCTAATCGGTGAGCCACCCATCCCTGTCCTTATCTCCATTCCCAAGCCTTTTGCTTTATTTTCTCCTTCCCATTCCTGAGGGGGAAGGCGTGAGTGAACAGCTGCATGGTGGACCACAACAATAGAACGCAGACTGCTTCACAGAAACACTCCAGCAGTTACTTGGATCTCATAAAAAAAACTCATCTAAAGCAAGATGTATGTTGTTTCTTCTTTCTACTGAACCTGAAAAAAATTGTTCATAAACACATTCCCTATTAACTAGCAAGACATGTATAAATCACTGCTAAAATAAACTGAATAGTCTGCTACTACCATTCCTATCTGGATTTAATAGCAATGATTTCACAAGTCCAGAAACAGCAGCAAGGGATTTGGAAAGAGGATACAAAAGATAATAAACATTGTACTAAGTAGTGGTAATTGTGAAATTTTATTTTATTTTTTGAAGTCACAGAAGAGGGTAGAAAAGAGAGACAAAGTGTTGGATCTAACGAACCATAGATGTAGAGCAATTGGACAAGATAAAAACCCCCCTAGCTTAAATTAATATATTTATAGGAAAAAATGGTTGGTACCAAGGCTGAATTAGAACCATGATTTTCAAGGTCAGGCACACACTTCCTTAGTCCCTTGAAAAACCCAACCCTTAAAAGAATATTTAGTTTAGAATGGTGTCGATCCTGGACAATGGTAACCTCTAAATGCACTTAATGCTCTCCTAATTTCCGGCATGAAATAACTGAAATAAAAAATTTGAAAAATGCACGTTCGAGGTATTCCACCATTTCCACACTGCTATTTAATAAACAAGTCAATTTACTATCATCCAACCTAACTTTTACCACCTACTAAACCCTAACATTGAGCTCTTAAATCACCAATTGAGAAAAAGTGATTCAAGGTTTCAGTAACAAATCAATAGATTTTCTGGAATATGAACACTTTACTTTTTAGTACATTGTACTTTATTACAAGGTTCATTCAAATCTAAGTAATTTCAGTTACATTCCTATGGCTTTTGAGCAAAAAAGCGAGCAGTTTTACTGTATGTACACAATATTGAACATAAATTAATTATTAATAACCTACATTCACTGTGGGTTTCTAAGATTTACATCCAAAAAGCATATTTTATTTACATGCTGTTGACATTTTAAAGATGAAATAAAATCTTATTTGTTAGGAATTATGAACTCTCTCAAATTAAAAAATTTAACACCACAAAATGTTTAAAATGTTTACAATAAAAAACAGCTTCCTGTGCCAATTATATTTACTAAGAATGTAAAATTGCATTGATAACTGCATTGACTACAATTAGACTTGAAACATTCCAAACCTGAGATTCAAATCTAAACTTTTTTTTTTTTTTAAAAAAGAAAATCCTACAAGCTAATATGCCCTAATGTTAATTTAAGCACAGATTGGTCAGTGGTCAATAAAAAAAACCAAACCAAAACAAAGCAGTGCATTATTTCTGCATCTCCAAAAGAATAGCCCACTATAAAATTGTTGCAGTAGTCTGATAAATGCCAGGTCTGCCAACTCCAGTAAGGCTTATTTTAAAGTGTCCTTTCCCACACACTGTACCCTAATCAAATGATGAGTGTCTTTGGCCACTTCCTGTGAGGGTTCCTACATTTATGTAAGCATGCATTTGCTTAAGTATGCATCTGGGATCTTTGAGGTTTCCCACCTTAAACATAAATACACAGGTGTTTTAACAGCTAGATCAGAGTAAAAAAAAACCAAACCAAACCAAAAAAAAAAAAAACCAAACACATGAAGAGGCATAGAAAGTTAGAAATACTGGCCAGAAAACATTCAAAGTCTAATGAAAAGTTTTATATCAACCCCAAAGGCCTTTTAAAATCAGCATAGCTCTGGAGCAGCATTCACTGTATTACTAACACTATGTACCTTACATTAAAAAAAAAAAAAAAAAAAAAAAAAAAGTTGTAGTAACAGGTACATTTTGCTGCACTGCAGGATGTAAAAAGTAACCACATCTACAAAGACTGGGAAGACTGGGGAAGAGAAGTTTCGAGCACAAAGTTACTCATTTTGTAGCAGCCGTTATATTTCTGCACTTGGAAACATTTTTATGCTCCTTTTGAGTGAAATGGCTTTCCCCTCCCTGCTTGTATCTTTCAGAAACTGTGCTTGACCAAGAGCATCTCCCAGGAGTGGTTTGAGAAGGCCATGATTTTTCCATTCTGGAGGTATTTTTCACAACTTTAATAGTTTGCCCTTCCCGTGCAGATGGTTGGCAATGTAGTAGTGCTCCTTCCAGGCTGAAAGCAGGCAAACTGCCATTCAGCAGCCACTACAGGCAGCCTTGCTTCATAAGACTACCCAACAGGTTGCATTTAACTAAATTGATATTCCCTGGAACCCAGAAACGCTTATCTCAAATGACCACCAATACCATTCACCAAAATAAACACATAGGTATCTATAGCTCTGAAACAAAGTTACTCTTGCATTTCATAGGGACTGATCTTTGCCAGTTAAGATGGGAGCATTTCATTAGAGCTTTAAACCTAACTACACCATACGGCAACATACTTAAGTCTACTTAAGCCACATCGACCTAATTTACCCTTTGAAAACTACATCTGCATTACCTACTTCACCACTAAGACAATGTAAAAACAACTCCCAGCAAAAGCTTTTTTCCTGGGTTTTAGGATCTTTCTTTTTCTAAGGCACTCGCATGAACAAACACACAGGTTTTTATTTATACAGAAATAAAACCAACGATGTGGCAAACATACTTGTAAGTAATTACAAAAATGTTATACCTATTAGGTGACACATTTGTCTACCCAATGTAGCACTAACTAATGTGTGTTTTTTTTTTTCCAAAAAACTAAAAAAATTCTGCAACTTGGTATGTTACAGTGGGTTATATCAGGGATTTTCTTTGTATGTTTTACAGAAATTACATTTAAAAAAACCAAACCAAACCAAAAACCAATGAAGGTAAACAGCCACAAGTTTTGTCATTCATTGACATAAAGCAGCAGGTACACTGAAGAACATTCTGCTGTAATAAATAAAACTTTTTCTCATATTTGAGTTTAAGATGGTGTGTTTTATCCCTTTGATTCTGGAATACAAGTAGACTAATTTTAAGTTAAAAAAAAAAAAAAAGAGCAACTGTATACAAATTAAGAGAAAACTGCAGGAGCTAGAATATACATGATTTCATGCAATGATACAATACTTCATCCCTAGTAACATATAAGATTTCAAAAGTCATCCTTTCTGGAAATAATCTCTTCTAAACTACTAGGGAAAAAAAAAAAAAAAAAAAAACAAAAATGAAACAAACCAAAACATTCGATATGCTGCTAAGGTTTTCATAGGTGATCAAGAAGATGTTGACTCAGTTTCTTCACCAGTTACTGTTTGACAAACCTTACTCTCATTCAGTGTGCAGAAGAGTTCTCATCCCAACAACAGGAGATTGCTTGGCACCAGTAAGGCAAATCACTTGGTACAGTTTTTACTAAGGTTAAATAAACCCATGATGTCAACCATTGCTTTTTGGATGTTTTTTCCAAACCGATGAGAATCCTTTAAAAACAAACACACAAAAAACAAAACCAAAGACTTGTACTGTCAACCAACAGTTATCTTTTAGGCAAACGAAGGAACTTTTCAACATTTTTTAATTTTGGAGCCTATAGAATTAAGGCATGTATTTCGCCATAAAATGAGGAATTTAAATCACAAAAATTTTAATACTATGCAAATTAATCCAGGTTTATACTATTACCGACTAATGAGTAGTTCATTTTGCATTTATTTTCCTACAGACAGAACAGAGATCATCTCCTTTTGAAATCAGATGCATCTGTAGCATTCTGTTACTTTAAAATAGGTTACTTTAAAATGGGTTTCAATATTTTTTTTTATACAAGATTTGGCAAAAGCTAATTTTCAAAAAACGAAAGAATGTTCAGGAGGCATATGACTAATGACCTAAAATTAAGAAAAAGAGGAGAAGAACATTCTGTATTTGAGTTCCTATCAGAATCCTGAATTGTTTGACACTGAAACATTACATTAAAGTATTGAAAATGAAAATCACAATTATCTAAGAGTAAATAAACTATGAACTTGTTCTGTTTATTCTAAGTGTCCGACGAATTGTGCAAGAAAGAAATTATGATTACCAATAAAAATTATTAGCTACATTATAGGATTTACTACAAAGACTCTACTAATATCAGTGCCATGCACATGAAATGCTGCCTTTTCTGCATGGACCTTTGTCTTTGACTTGTAAAAATTACAGGAAAATTTAAAGTATAAGCTAACAGGCACCTGAAGAACAATTTGAACTATGAAAAAAACAAGGTTGTATTTCCTAATCTTCAATGATTAACCAAAGGCACCAAGATTTCTCAGACAAGCTAAGGTCAAAAAAGGAAAACTAGTTCAGCTATGTAATACTTAACAAACTCAGCATGTTTACTGAAGTCATAAAAATCTAAAGGGGAAGGATGAATTGAAGCTCACTCAAAGCAGGCCTCTGCAACAGCAGAGTATTGAATAGATGACATCTACTACATTCTAATAATGGGTGTTATTCTAATAAATTTTTGATTATGTTTTTCCAGCACAGATTACAATTTATGGGCAAGATTCTTTGAGTATTATTTAAATCATGAAGATTTAAAGAATAGGAAGCATACATTTTACTCTGTCTTTACAACTGCAGCCAGAGACAAATCAAAGCAAAACTGTAATAACAAAAACCAGGAGACACCTGTTTATGGGACAGATACAAGTAACACCACCAAAACAGCATATGTTGAAAAAGAAAAAGCACATTATAACTGTATGTTTCAAGTCCTACTAAATTTTTTTTTTAGACAGTGAGTAGAACAGATATATAAGCAGGTATCGGAACAGATTTATTAAACCATAGGAAAGGACTGACTCTTACCGTCTCAGAACAAGATATTTTGCTGGAGACATGGAAATGTATGGAATTTTCATCCAAGATAATATAAGAAACACCATAACCATCATCAGCCACCTAGGGGAAGCAAGAAGAGAAAAACAAGTTCTAAACTTTTTATTTCTCCTTCCATTCCTAAATTATCTTATACATAATTACACAATTCTTATTGTGCAGTTTTTAAAATCAGTTGCAATTTCTCCTCAAGCAGAAATTAAGCTTTCACATTTAATGCATCATTTCTGAAGACTGATTCCAATTAAGTAAACAGTTCTAGTCTCATCTGAAGTGCATGGAATTAATATTTTCGGAATATGTCTGTAATATTTCCCAGCTTTAGTATTTTGAAATAGAATATGTGTTCAAAGACCTTCTCCTATGAAGGTCTGGTCCTAAGCAGCTATATAGCTTCAGTGCTTAAGCAGAAAGGAATAAAACGGCTCAGTTGTATACCTAAACATCCTGTTTCATGGGATCACTCTGCAGATGTAAAAAATACAGTACATAAATGCAGAGCGTGCAAGCCTTATAGAAAACTTGCCCAAAGGCTAAGTTATCCAGCTCTACAGCAAAGATATGATTCTGAACACTTGTATCATGAGCAGGGCTCTGGTCCAATTTCAACATTAGCAGGATTAACTGTCCCAGGTTTCAGTCTGATGATATACTTAAAGTATGCCTAGTAAACATCGACTAGCCTGCTGCCACTCTCCCTCCTCTCTTTCCTAACTCAGAGGATCACAGCCTTCAGGCTCTTTGCTGCCACTGCTGCTAAGCAGCCTGATGGTCTTCTCTCCATTAGTACTACAGGGCTATATTCTACAGAACACTTGAAAAAAAATACCCAGACCCAACAAACACACACATGGAAAGCCTGATGTACTGACTCTCTGGGCTACTTCAACAAACCAAAGCACATTTTTTGTAAGGGTACAAGAAATGATGAATGAAATTTTAAGCAGGGTTATTTGGAAAGGCAGACAACTGAAGAAAGGAAATGAAAGGAATGAAGAAATAGTAAGAAGAGAGAAGTTAATATAGCATTAGCAAAAACAAAGGGAAAAGAGTATTAGAAATTCCTGCAGCCAAAAACCTACTATATTGCCAGACCACACCTTTTGGGGGATTCTAAATACTGACTTCATAATCTGCTGGAGCAAGCCAGTTTCTCATGAATGAGCAGCATTGCAATAGCTAGGCTTCCTTGATACTATAATTTAAACTCATTCCAACTTCAAGAACTACTGAAAGCTCTAACATGAATAAATACATTTAAAAAAAAAATGCACAAAACCCAACTTCCAGCTTGACAGACCAGCCAAAATACACTGCACTTGTCATCCTAATTTCTGTGTGGCAAAGAGCAGTCCTGTGATCCCTCTCATTGTTCTTTCAATGGAAATGCTTTTTGAAAACAGATTAATCTAGTCTATAGCACCATAAAGACTGCTTAACAGATCTTGTTTATGTATCATCATGAATGACCATGTTCAAGTCCTGGTAAAATACTACAGCAAAACAGAAACTTGTAAAATGTCTAACAATACACTAGTTTCTTGAAACTCTACAGAAGCTGCAGAACGTGGTTTTATTCTTAACTTAGACACTATTCACACTTAAGAGGGCAAGCAGAATAATGTGAGTAGCTTAATTTGGAAGAAAGCATAAGCATATTTTTTAATTAATCAGGAAATATAAAGAACAAGTCAAGTATAACTACTTTTACAAGTCCCAACCTTAAAATCTAGTTTAAGTACTAAGGCATTTGTCACTGTAATAATATCCTGATGTACAGAAGCTCTGGGCATATGTAATGTGATAAAAGCCCCCACTTGATCAGATCTGGGATGTGGAGCTCTGTGCCACATTTTATAACTGCATATTTCCTTAAGAATAATCCATTCTTGTAGTGAGATATGAGAAAGAGGTGATTGTGCTGGGTTTGTGTGTGTGGCATGTCCACATCATGGGAAAGCATTAAATACATGCATTTAAAAGGATGTGTTGCACCACTGATGTGCAGCATGAAAGTATTAGAGATCTGAAATTTTCAGACTGGCATATTAAAAATAAAACTGTTTTTAAAGGGTAAATGTATTTAGCAAACATACCGGTCCAAATCCTCCACCACAGGATAACATCTCAGGGTTCTTCTTTAGATCAATATGCTGCTGTGGTGTCTGACTTGTTGACAGCCTCCAAGGCTCTGACAAAACCTTTATTAGATATGAAAGAGATGCAAACAAGTATATGTTCTTAAATATGCAATTTTCCCAAAAACTAGCCAAGGTAAGTTAGAAAGCACTCAATAAAGCAATATTAAGGATAACTCCAGTTCCCAGATCAATGGAATGAACAATTAAGGTTAAAAGACACAGCTAAAATTGTCCTGATATGCAATCCATTAACATATGAGGTCGTGATATCAATTTCTCCAACAGAATAAAAGTTCTTTCAATAGAAACACTATTCCAAAACAGATTAATCTGGTCTCTATCTATCTGGTAAATTCTGCATAACAGGTCTTGTTAACAACAGGATCATTAATGGCCATATTCAAATCCCAGTAAGATACCACATCCAGCTAGAACCCTGTAAAATCTCTAACAATACATACGCATCTTGAAAGTCCATGGAAGCTGTAAAAAGTTGGTTTAATTTTGACTTGGCCACTACTCACATTTAGGATGGCAAACAGACAAATGTGAGTGGCTTGTGGAGGCAAGCTGGAATGCATTTTTTATTAATCAAAAAACATGAACAAGTGCAATATAATTACTTTTATAAAGCCCTACCTTAAAATCTAGTTTAATAAAACGTTTGTCATGGTAATAAACAGTGACAGTAACGTTAAGCACTAAAGAACATAAATCACAATATACAGCTCCTTTAACTCACAGTAACCTAAAAGAAAGTGACTTTGTCACAGTTCCTAAAGCATATTCTTGAGAGAAACCACAGCAACCAGTATTTTTTTTTTTGTAATACAGACTATATCCTTCTTGCAATCCTTAATAACATGTATAACACTACAAAGCTCACAGAAAGCATTACTACTATTAATAAGTGTATACATAAAGAAAAATTAAACTAACGTGTAATCTAACAGCAGATGTTAAGCTATTGCTAGCTGAACTCTTACCTTTTTTCTTACAAAAACCAGCGTTCTACAAGTACGTTTGCAGATACCACAGAACAGTAAGTAAACAAAAGATTATTTACTGTAATTAATAGTTATCAATAAAAGATACTTACTTCCTTAAGGAAAGGAGAATCTACAGCAAGGTACTTGGACACAACATAAAGGCAGAACAGATGGCGGTCAATGCCAGAACCAGTCATGGCGAGACGATACAAGTGCTGATGTTTGGCAGCAGCAATCCGAAAGAACTTGAGCTTATTGTTGTTCTAACAATGAAAAAAAGATGAAGAAAAATTAGTTAAGTGAACTGGGTTGAAGATGGAGTTGCAGAAACTATGTTACAGCAATGACTCCCAAGCCTAGAGCACTTAAGGGTCATCTACAAGACAATAGATGCAACTAACACCAAATACTAGTATCCTCTGTCTTTTCAACCTCATGCATTCAATTTCAGGCATTAGCAAGTGTCAACTATTACCTGCTGTAAACAGTGCATAATGAAAAAAAAAAATGTATTTTAAGTGTGATTTAACCTCAGAATCAAACATTATTACAACTCAAGCCTATAACACTATTGAATATTTAGTTTCTAGAGACACTGGTCTTAAAAAGTTACAGAAGAGCAAACCTCAACATGGTTTAAGAAAAGCTGGAACTGCAACAACCATTTTAGAAGGCAAACTGACAACACTGAAGATATTGGGGTCCATGAATGCTGGTCATTTTCTGAAAACCCTCTCTTAAGAGCTCAGGAACAGACAATTCCAAAGTGTCAGAAGTCAAGCAAGCAGGGCAGAAGGCCAGCTTGGCTCAGCAGGGATCTTCTAGAACTTAGGTGGAAAAGTGTATGGACACTGAAAGAAAGGACAGGTGACATGGGACAAATACAAAGATGCTGTTTGCCACTGTAGAGAGCAACCAAAGCTCCGTTAGATTTCAAGCTGGACAGTTCTGTGAAGGACAACAAACAGGGCTTTTAAAAATATGTTAACAGCAAAAGGAGGAGAATCAGAGATGATAACATTGGTCTGCTACTTTAGGAGGTTGGTCACCTCACAAATGGGGATGCAGACAAAGCAGAGACGTTTAATGCCTTCTTCACTTCTGTCTTTAACAGTAGTGATGGGCCATGGGAACTAACCTCTGGGACCCTGTGCTGGAAGACCGTGTGACTAGGGGGATAATAAACTCCCAGCTGACTGAACTTGTTTGGGACTCGCTGCTCCCACTGGAGGCACTTAAGTCTGTGGGGCCCAGTGAAATTCATCCCAGGGTATTAAAAGAGCTGGCCGACGTTACTGCAGGACCTCTCTCCAATTATTTTTCAGTGGTCTTGGGAATCAGGAGAAGTCTCCATCAACTGGAAACTGGCAAATGCTGTCCCAGTTTTCAAGAAGGGTAAGAAGGAAGACCCTAGTAATTACATGCGTGTCAGTCTCAATTCAGTGCCTGGTAAAATCAGAGAGAAGGTTATTCTGGGAGTTATTGAAAAACACTTGAGAGACAATGCAGTCCTTGGTCACAGCCAACACAGGCTCAGCAGGGGAAAGTCCTGTTTAACTAACTTAATTTCCTTGATGACAAGGTCACCCATCTAGCTGGCCAAGGAAAGCCAGTAGACATGAGCTTTTTGGATTTTAGCAAACCTTTTGATAACTGTCTCTCACAGCATCCTTATGGACAAAATGTCCAGCACACGGCTAGAGAAGTCCATAATATGTTGGGTGAACAGTTGGCTGATGGGTCCGGCTCAAAGAGTTAAAATAAATGGGGTTACCTCAGGCTGGCAGCCAGTCCCCAGTGGGGCTCAATTCTAGGGCCAGTGCTTGTTTGATGTTTTTATAAAGGATCTGGATGCACAAGTCGAATGTATATTAAGTAAGTTTGCCAATGATACTAAATTAGGAGGAACTGTGGACTCCCTCAAGGGTAGAGAGGCCTTACAGAGCCATCTGGGTGGACTAGAGAGCTGGTCCCTTGATTTGTTCAGCTTGGAGAAGCAAAGGCTGAGGGGTGCCCTCATCGCAGTCTACAACTTCCTCAAGGGGGGCAGAAGTGGGGAGGTGCTGATGTCCTCTCTCTGGTGACCAGCAGTAGATGTGGAAATGGAATGAAGCTGCATCAGGGGAAGTTCAGCTTGGACGTCAGGCAAAGGTTCTTCACTGAGAGGGTTTTCGGTCACTGGAACAGGCTCCCCAAGGAAGTGGTCAGGGCACCAAGCCTGTCCGAGTTCAAGGAGTGTCTGGATGATCCTTTTGGTCTTATGGCTCAGTTTTAGGTAGCCCGTTGGGGAGCAAGGAGGTGATATCCTTATGGGTCTCTTCCAACTTGAGATATTCTATGAGCACTGTATGAATGTTGCAAGGGTGAAAGAAAGTGTCTGTTCAAAACAGTCATTCTGTTTAGATTTTATAATGTGGAATGCAACACACTGAGTATACTGTAACCTGCTACTTCTTATCTCCAGTATCACTGCATTTTACACCTTTTACACCATTTTACACATTTTAATTGGGACACAGTGAGCAGCCTATTTGCCTCCAGTATGAGAAACTAATAAGTCACTTGTAGTCATGCTAAGCATGCCTACCATTGGCAGTCAGGAGTAAAGTTTTGTCAATAGTCTATGAAGGATAGAAGTGCTCAGGAAAAATTCTAAAAATTCTCAGGAAGGACCCAGAGAAAAGCAGAAGCATGCAGTAAAGGCAGACAACTATTTTAAAAATAATATATAAATGCATATAATATAATCTTCAAACATAAAAGTAAAAATTGCATTATGAAGGCAGGGTTCCTCTGCTCTGTGGCTGATCATTCCAGATGAAGGGCAGTAATGATTCAACAAGTCTGAAAAAGAATCATAGTTGTAGTAACCATAAAAAAAATTGAGCAGAATGAAGTCTGCTGCATATATGATTTTGCCATGTATGGTGCTTATTCCTTTAACAAAAATGGAGACATTAACTGCAGAGATGAAAGAGCAGTTAATTCTGACATCGATTTTGACATGGCTATGACAAAATTACACTGGGTAGTTGTACAGTAGCTATATCATACAGTTATGTATGACATGTTGACATAAATGGATTTCCAGACTTGCACTGTTCTGATCATGGCTACCAGCACAGCATGTTGAGAAATACAGGGGGAGTTTACCTACATAGAACTTGCAGAAAGAGGAGGGAGATAAAAGCTTCTCTCTTTCTCTGTGCATCCATTTTCTTGCAGTAACATTTATTCACAGAATCACGGGGTTGGTTTTTTCTAAAGGACAATCCTCACCTGTTCATCTGCTTAGACTCCTCTGCCCTAAAATCTGATCAACTAAGACTCTTTCCTGAAGGATCATTATGGAACTTACATCTAAAGATTTTCAAAGTGAAAAAACACCCTCCCCAAGTTACCTGTTTCAGGTTTCTCACTTTTCCCCTCCTTACTCATTATCCCTATTCGCAGAAAATATTTTCCTGATATGTTTCTTTCAAAAATTTAAGTCCATTACTTCTTGGGACAGAGAACAAATTGTTCCCATCATCTCTGCATCAGCTTTCTTATCTTCCTAAGCACAACCTGGCTCCTTCTTCCAGTGTTCTTTCTTCTTTAGACTAGGCAAGAATAATTAAGTTCAATCTCTCCTCCCAGATCCTCTCCAGAGGTTGCTAACCATTCTTCTTGCTCTCCTTTAGATTTTCTCCATCCGTACCTTGAGTGTGGTGTCTAAAACTGGACACAACACACCAGCTAGTGCTTTACTAGGGAAAAAAAGTATAGAGACAAAATGCTACTAAAAATAAAGGGCAAGACTAACTAAAGTGAGGGCTCCATTTTTCCCAATGGCATGGCACTGAATGTTCTATGTCAGTGTTCAGTTACTGATTATAAAAGTCCTAGATTCTTTTCGTTAGCACTTCTAGCCATGCAGCTGTTACTCAGGCCTGGATACAATACCTTGAGTACATTCTTATTTAACAAAATCCTCTTTTTCAGGTCAACTTTTTACTGACTCTGAAGAACTGGAAATCCCCTTCACCTTAGCAAAACCTGCAAATGTAATGATTTATTTGATCAACTGTATCTGTGAAAACTGTGACTAGCAGTAGATTAAAGACCAGACAGCCTCCAAGACAATTGTCTTCCACCCTTCCATTTTTATGGAAAACATATTTTCAGTATTGTCCAAGTTTCACAAGCCAAGAAGTTTTTTCCTAGACCATGCTTCCTTTGTTTGCTATGCAGAACATCACAAGAAAGATTAAAAAGCCCACTGAAATCAATATATAAGACACATTTCCCATGGATAATACTTGTCTTCCTATCTGCAAGGGAAGCCTAACTGGTATGAGATTACTTGTTTTACAGATCTTTGAGTTTTACAAGTCATCTCAGTTTTCTGGAGTTCAGTAACTGTAAGTAATATCATATGTGGCTAAGTTACTGCCACTCTCTTTCGGTATAGCCTTGAATTTCTGCCATATTGACAGAAAATGTGGACAATTACCTTATGCTGCACTCCATTCCTAAAACACAAAGGTATCATTTAAGTATTTAAAAACTATTTGGGAACTTATACAGGTCTAGTGAAAACTCATGTGCCTTATGGGTTGCATAAGGCAACACCACCATGAACTTACATTTTCAGTTGGGTCTTCCATGCTTCGAACAAAATTACATGATTCAACAGTACATGAACGAACAGTTTCAGTCCTGCCTTCTCTGAACAAGCGTGTCATAGAGGCTTCATATGTTAAAGAAAATTTTCCCATGTCCTTGAAAAGGAAAAAATAAAAACTTAAACGTTTAGCCAGACTTAGCCCCTCTTTCTTAATCAACAGTTCAAGGTAAGTACACAGAATATGAATCACTCCACAAATTAAACTCAACATGAAATTTTCAGTAGCCCATCATTAGAAGTCTTACCTAAAGATAATAAAGAAAAAAAAAGATTAGTAGCAGGATTTTATAAACACTAATAGAACAACCAAACTAGCAAGGACTACCCTCTGCATTTTATATTCAGTCTTCTTCAGTTTATAAAAGAAGCTGACTTAAAGGCTATCTATTTGAAAGTTCAGTAGCTTCCTAGTTAACACAGCTGTGGTAAGTAATCAAGAAAACTAACATCCTTGAAAGTATTTTCGGTTAAAAGTTTAGTAGCATGCAGACACATGCCAGTGTGGGGATTTTTCAAGAATGTGAGAACTGAAAACAGTCTGCAAAATCCAGGAAGTATGGCTTCTGTGTTTCCTGTAGATGTGCAGTCTATAGATTAAAAGTTGCCAAATGACAGAAGTTTATCTAACATGTTAGCAGTCCTACCTGTCTAAAAACATACATCAGAACAGATTGTGAAAGCCTGTTCAGTTTTAGAGGATGGATATTCAAAATAAAAGAGGTGGATGGGTAATCAAACTGTTTGCCATGTAGTCACCCTAACCAATGGTAAGAAAGGCTAAGTGGTGATAGCGGCCAGGAAGTCTGGATGCTTTGAAAAATCATTTAGAATTACTTAAAAAAAAGAAAGTAAAACAGTATCTCAACAGTGACAACTAGAACGCAAAATGAAAAATATTCATGTTGCTACACTGGTGTTTTCTGGAAGCACATTATATAAAAGGTGAACTAACAGAAAAAAACACAGGCAGGCATTTCTGTTAATCCTGTTGGGGAGCGTCCTTGACTATCGAACTAAGGGTGACTCCAAACTAAAGATAAGTTTAACATTGTTTAGATTATAAACACAGCTACTAGAAGTTTCATATCTACTTCTTTGAAATCCAAAATGCCTAGGGATAGACCAACTATGCAGAAGAGAAAAACTTGCACAAGTAAATGCGCCAAACTTTGGACAATTAATTTCCAGCTAGTAATCTGTTTATGGTTTGTACCAATTTCCATTGTAATGTCTTTAATTATCTTGCACAAGTAGTGCAAGATTACTCTAAAGTACTTTACACAGTCACATGTTTTAATCACAGACAAGCTATACCCAATTTAATGAGATTCTTTAAGCCAGAAACAGTCTGTTCTTCTTACCCGATAGTGAGCAAGCTGCAGGGCAAGTTGCACGAAGGCATCAGGGCTGGTTTTTGCTTTCTTTATTAGTCCCTTCCCAAAAGCATCAAAATAAAATGAATGGAAGTCCACATCATCTGCCAGAGCTATGGCAGTGCTCAGAGACTTCTCAATCACTTCTTGACACTAAAATAAATAAATAAGAACATATGTGCATATATATGCATTTGATAGCACTTGAGAGAACTGTTAAAAAAGTGTAAATATTTTTAATTGATAAACGTTACCTTTCTGCATGCCAGAAACGTCACTATTTAAATAATCTCCCTCTGAATAAAGAGGAGAAGCTACCTTCGTCAGAAAGTTAGAATTCAAAAAGCTAATAAAAAAGAAGTTTTAAGCCAATAAACATCTAGAGTCCAAAAATTACACTTTAAAAAGATACCAGCATTAAGACTGTTCCAATCACTAAAACATAAAAGAGTGACCCACAGAGATAGTACGGCAATAGTTGCGTGGCTTCCAATCTGCTATACATGCTTAATTAAAACTTATCACCAACCATTACCTTTTTATTCAAAATTAACACCCAAATAGGTGGCGGCAGTTTGTTTTGAACTCAGGCAAAAAAAAAAAAAAAAATCAAAAAAAAATCATCAAGCCTTAATGTATACAGAATTTTGATTACAGAAGAGACATCTAATCTCAAGAAACTTTTACACAAGTGCATTCGTTCTGACAATAGTAGTGAAACCTCAGTAACTTAAACTTCATTTAAATACAGTTATATTTAAAATAGATGGCCACTTATTTCTGACATGTTGCCAACCAATAAAGTTTGTAGTAAAAAAAAAAGCTGGCATTTTCTGGCCAGAATGTTTAAAGAGTGATGTTAAAAACCCCTGGTATCTTTTTAAGTAAACCAAGTAATGTCCACACATGATATACACACCTTACAGGACTCAAAGGAATTTAAAGCTGGTTTACAGGCTTATCAGTAATTACTTAAATTATTTGACTACTCAGGAAAAGAGAGACTTCTTTCTCAAACCACTAGCTGTTCTGTACTTACTTCTTCTGGAATTTCCCACTGTAGTTTGGTAGGAATAGGAATATTATGATTGAGATCTCCTTTGCAGTGCCCATCTTCTGAATACCCCAGTTCAAGATATTCAGTTGCCATTACATTCTGCAAAGAATGATACTTCTTCAGAATTGAAACACAACACATATTGCTGTGGAATTAGGATTTAATTGTGAAATCAATATAATCCATTTTCAGTACATAGTGAAAAACAATATACAATACTTTTCCAAATACTGAAAACAGTTGCAAGTGAAGCCCTCTGTTTTACCTCTACTTTTAAGGCATTTTTACTAGTGTTCTGAGTAGGAAGAATACCAGATATGCAAACGCTTATTCAATTACACTGGTACATTTTGTTAGATGCCACCAAATTAATCAAAATGTTTCAACTAAAAACCCACCTCAGATTTACTAGTACTAAAAAAAGTCAGTCTTGAGTCTTAGATTTCACAACCTTTGTTCAATTTAGATTCCAGAGAATTTCTGCAAGTTTGTTATCTGACAAAACTTGTTCATCAAGAAACAGTTTATTTCGGAGTAAGTGCAAGAATTTAATAATTTTTAAGATTTGCATCCCACTCAAAAATCATGGTTTAATTTATATATGCACTAGAGCTCTTGGGTGGGGAAGTAGAATGAACAATAGGATGAACAATACAACAGAAAAAAAATCTCTGTCTTACAAGATTTCAAACATCTTCAATATAAAAACAAAAATTAAAAATACAGAATTATCAATAGATTTTAATCTGCTCAGTACGGAAAGAAAAAGTTTTACAAAAATCTATTGCGTGATCTACATATTTATAATTTAATTTAATTTTCTTGGTTAGTGGTCAGAACATGCCAACTATGAAATAAAGCTTAATCCATTCTATTCTAAAAATAGTCTATATAGAGCTAACAACATATAATTTTTTAGGAAATTAAATCCTACTTAGCTTATTTTATTCATCTTAATTCTTAGCAGAAAATGAGCAAACTAATAGTAGAAGATACAGTAGAGATATGAACTAAAGCATGTAACATCATTCTTTCAAAAAACCCAAAGTATTTTCCATTGAGCTAGTCTAAATTGCACTGTCAAGTCAATCTCAAATCAGTTTGGCCTTCTTTCTTCCCTGATTAGAGAATAAAATGAGGATTTTTTTTTTTTTGTTCTTACACACATGGAAATGCTTATACAATAAAATTAGGAAATTACTTGGGGCACCAGTCAGATCCATTTGTACAAATACATAATGAAATCAGAATTAGCTAATGTTTACTAAATAATTCTGAGTGATTGAGTCATGTAACTGTTTATGGGTTTAAGCTCCAAAAAAAAAAAAAAAAATCAAGTATGATTTCAAGTAATAGTTAATAAGCTCATGATGAGCAGACCTGACAAAAAGTACATTTATTCCATTCATTGCAAATAAATATAAGAGATAATTTAAACAGCATATCAATCTGTAGCTCATCAAACAATTGCTTAAGAGGAAAAGTTAGACTCTGTACTGTACCTTTAATTTTTAAAAGTAAGTATGGGACTTTTATAGCACAAGAAAGCTTAAGTGCTTGAGGAGCACGTATACACACACAAAATACAATGCCATATCAAAGAGGTAACAATCCATTGATTTAGAATATTATAAAAAGCTTAGGTGGAGTGCTGTATCACTTTTCTATGAAGACATCTATGTTCATTAAAATGCAATAAAGACCTTTAATTTAAAGGACAGCAACCTTTCTTTTTAAGCAAGGTTTTGGTTGTTTTTTTTTGTGTGTTTTTTTTTTTTTTTTCTCCTCTAAGCTCTAAAGTCACTGTAGATGCAGGCCCATAATCACTACCAGCAACGTGAATGCAAGTGACTCAAAGTAGCTGCTGATCTTCAGGACTGTTGCATGGACCATATCATATCTTCTGCATTAACTTTTGTACTAAACACCTACCTCCCAAAGGTGTCCAATAATTGGAGCATCTGCCCAAGAGTGCTCTGCATTCAGACCCATTCTCCCATTTTTGAATACTATAAGAGTGAATGTTTTATCAAACCACCTACAAAAGAAATTAAGATTTCCTTAGTTTTCTACATTCAGAAGCATTTTCATACTCTAATTTAATCTCAAAAATTCACATTCAAATGCACTAGTTCTTGTTTTGTTTGTTTTTTTTTTTTTTTTTTTTGTTTGGTTTTTTGTTTGTTTGTTTTTAAATAATAATTTATTTAAATAAACATACATAAATTTGAACTTCATTAAGTTCAACTATGTGAACCTCATGAGGTCCAACAAGGCCAAGTGCAAGGTCCTGTACCTGGGTCAGGGCAGCCCCCAGTATCAATACTAGCTTGGGGATGAATGGATTGAGCACCCCTGCAGAGGACTCTGGGGTACTGGTGGATGAAAAATTGGATATGAGCCAGAAATCTGCACTCACAGCCCAGAAAGCCAACTGTACTAACTGGGCTGCATAAGGAACAGTGTGGCCAGCAGGTCACGGGGAGGCCATTCCCCCACTCTACTCCGCTCTCATGAGAGCCCACCTGGAACGCTGCATCCAGCTCTGGGGCCCCAACTACAAGAAAGGCATGGACCTGCTCCGACAGGTCCAGGGGAGGGCCATTAAAATGGTCAGAGGGCTGGAGCACCTCTCCTATGAGGAAAGGCTGGGAGTTGGGGTTGTTCAGTCTGGAGAGGACAGCTTCTTGTGGCCTTTCAATATATAAAGAGGGCTTAAAGAACAAATGGGAATGACTTTATATCATGGCCCATAGTGACAGAACAAGGGGCAACGGTTATAAACTGAAAGAGGGTATACTGAGATTTGTCATAAGGGTGGAATTTTTTTTTATGATGAGTGTGGTGAGACACCGGGAAGGGTTTCCCAGAGAATTTGCGGATTCCCCATCACTGGAAGTGTTCAAGGCCAGGTTGGGTGGGGATTTGAGTAACCTGATCCAGTAAAAGATATCCCAGCTCGTGGCAAGCGAGGTGGACTAGATGACCTTTGAAGGTCCCTTCCAGCCCAAACCACCCTGTGATTCTATGAAATTTATCAGCATATAAGTCACCAATTCATATGTACTGACCATGCAAATCAGTGAAATTCTAAAAAAGGTAAGGTGTTTTCCACACAGTCATTACTGTACCTGTCATAACATCTACCATGTATTAAGGATTTTGCATATGCATCCAGTGACCCCACTGGATCTTCTTTCCTGTATCCTTGCTCAATGTCATCCAGTGTCACAAAAAATGCTGCTTTTTCAACAGCATCTAAGGATTGTTTGTTCTTTCCACGGCTAAAATAAGCCTGTCGAGCTTTGGCCCATGGTACTCTGCAAAAATAATTTGGTTTATAGCCACATTACATTGTCAATGCTTTATCACCCTTATAATCACTATGAGACATTCCTCCAACTTTTATCAAATTTGATGCAACTACTTTAATTGCATTTGAACTATATTAGCAGTGAAAAGTTCTGAAAATACATGTACAATGTAATCCAAAGAACTGATTCAATTTATCATCACACATGTGCAAAGCTTAGTCCTTAGAAATTCAATATTTCCGTGGCATGAAATATGTATAGCACAGATCATTTATGTTTATAACTGAACAAATGAAAATATATATTATACAGAAGAGGAAAATAGTAACAATAACGACAACAGTCAACAGATATTAATATCCATTCTTGTAACACCTAAATCTAAGAGTCTGGACAGCTGTCAGTTAGAAGTTCCATGGTAAATGCCTGAAACAGAATTGATGTTAAAGTAGTCCTGAACAATGTAATTTCTGTATGGTTGTACCATGTTTATTTATAAATATATGTGGTTTTACCAATGAAAAAATATTTCTGTTTTAAAGCAGCAAGTGCGAAAAAGGACTTGCAGTAAGAAAGTATATTAAAATCCACAGCTCTTTTCTTTCCCTTGGCCAGAAACAACTAGACAGACTGAACTAAGTTTGACACCAATTAAATTCAATTCAGTGATTTTGCACCTAGAACCAAGTGAGTACATACTGCTTTATTTTGTAGGTGCACGAGCATGGAGTAACAGTTACTGAATTCACATTCTCAATCTTAATCTTGAATATATTCTTTAAAATGCCAGTGAATGCCAGAGTAGATATAAAACTCAAGTAGTTCAATACGTGTAGTACTATAAAGCTTCCAATTATCACTCTTACCATAACCACAATTAAACAAAACTTCTCCAGCTAAGTATAACAAGTAATCTGTGTACAGGGTTGCCACTGCAAAATTACTTTTAACTCCGTATAGTTGCAAACAACTGAGGAGTTATTACATGTTAGCAATATATAAAATCAGTGATCAAGGTATAATCAACTGACTGCAGACTATTTTAAAATTCCAAAGCCAATATTCAATTAGCATGTTATGCAACTATTTCTAAATATTAAAATTCATTTAAAAAATAATATCCACCATACCTGTCTCCTGCAGTAAGAGCTGCTAGTTTCTCTTCCCCAGCCTGAGGTTCTGAATCATCATCAAGAATTCTTTGCATCTGCTGTTCAATTTCTCGGGGTTTCAACAGCCTACCATCATGGTACAGCCACACTTTGAAGTAACGGCCCTTATGATACACAACAATGTGTTTGCTGTCTTCCACATGCTGGATAGTATCTGGAATTGCAAACATTAGGTGAAAACAAAGCTGAAATCTCAAAACACTAACGCACTAAATAACATCAAGTGCCTACTGCACTCATTACCAGTCAGCCTCAGCTTATTTATTTTACCAAAGTAATAGTGTGGAATAAACCACTCCGCCATGTTATTTCGGCACAAAGATTCCTGCAAGAAACAGTCAAATCCACAGATGCGATAATCATTTGCATATATAGCACCACCAGTTTCCACACTAGAGGCCAATATTAAGCAACTAAACCTGTATTTCTGTATCTGAAAAGCGATCACTAGCAGTGTAGTCTCATTAAACAGTCAGCAAAAGAACACAATAAATGAGTCTTGGGAAAGGTACTTTTAAATCATCTGCCTTCAAGTGCTAAACAACTCACAGTACAATCTGTGGACAGCCTTAAGAGAGCCGAAATTTACTACCATGATCTTTTGTTCACATTTATCCTGGCAGATGCAGAGTGAATTGCTCCATCCAGGGCCAAAAAGTGTAGTGTTATGGAAGTCAGTGAAGCAGAAACCTATACCACAAATTTTTCCTCACTTTATTATTTACATGGCTTAATTTGGATAAGACTGATCTTTGTCATGAAGGCATTGTATCAAACCACAGATGAAGGTTTCTACAGCAGCCAGGAAAAGCCCTCAACTGATGAAAACAGTTAATTGAATTCCTTCATTACTCCAAAGAACTATCATACTCCTGTGAATCTGAGAAAACCCATTACTGAGATGATGTCCTGAGTGAGTGGTGGTTTGTTCTTTTTTTTTGTTTGTTTGTTTTTTGTTTTGTTTTATTTTGTTTTTTTTTTTTTTTTTTTCTGATAGCAGGGGAGGGGGCTACAACAGTGGCCCCTGTCAGAAGCTTCTTGAAGCTCCCCAAGCTCCAAGTCAGCTCCAACTCTGCACCAAAACTGAGCCCATCAGCTGCACCTCTGTGAGAACGTATTTAAGAAGGGACGTGGTGAGGAGCAGTGGGACTTGTGAGGAGGAGTTGGGGCAGCTGCGTGAACACCAAGGTCAGTGGAGGAACGGAGGAAGAAAGGAGGGGGGAGGTGTGCCGGAGCAGAGACCCTCCTGTACCCTGTGGTGAGACGGCAGGGCGGCCCCCCCTGCCACCCATGGAGATCTACGGTGGAGCAGACACTGATTTATGGCCTGGGAGGGGCCTCATATGACTGACTAAGGTGACTGTGCCTGAAGGAGGCCGGGAGCCTGTGGGAAGCAGCAGCCCCTGCTGTTGTAGTTCAGCGCTGGGAGGATTGCAGCATGTGGGGGTGTCCCACACTGGAGCAGCTCAGGAAGGGCTGCAGCCTGTGGGAGGGAATCCAGTCGGAGAAAGTTTGTGGAAGACTCTCTGTTGCAACAGGGAGACCATGCTGGGAGCAGGGGGAAGAAGTTCCAGAAGCTCCCCCCTGCCGAAGATGGAAGCAGCGGCAGCACTGTCTGCACCCCCCATTCCCTGCCCCTGCTCCACTGGGGGAGGAGGTAGAGATATCGGGAGCAGAGCTGAGCCCGGGAAGAAGGGAGGGATGGGGGAAGGTGTTCTCAAAATGTGGCAATGCTTCTCACTGTCCTACTCTGTTAGGTGTTGGTGTTGTCAGTATCTGTAATAAATCTATGTTCCTTTTTTATCTTCCCCTAACAAGTCTGCCTTTTGCCCAGGCCCATAACGGGTGATTTTCCCCTCCCTGTCCTATCTCAAATGCCAAGCCTGGCCTATTTTCCCCTTCTTATTGCAAGGAGGAAGGTGGGAGTGAATGGCTGTGTGGTGCTAAGGTGCCCTCTGAGCTCAAACCACAACAGATGAATAAAGATGATGTCAAAAATGAGGGCTGAGCCTAGAACTCATGATTAAGAGATATGAGAAACATTGTATGAGGGAAGAGTTCTATACTTTGGGTGCTCTCAGCTACCCATAAAGTTTTGGTAGGTATGCTTCATTGACTGATCAGAAGCAGTTTTACATTAATCATGCCTTTGGCTATCCACTTTGCATTTCTCTCAAAGATAGGGTGCCCATGATAAAAACACTAGGATTAGCAGAAGCATCACTCCAACTGTCAAATACATTAATACAATGGTTGTGAATTAAGAAAAAATCCCACAGATGGGGAAAAGAAGCAGCAGGGCAAGTCAGCTAATGAGATAACTTCTACAATCCCAACCTGAATCAGATACCTCAAGTATTTGTATCATGTCCGTGACGTGTCCATATAAAAAAGACAAATTGAGTGTAAACAGCAAAAGTGAGATCATTTGTCACCTACATCAACAACTGACTTCACAGCAGTTGTTGAGCCCCTGCACTTACTTTTCAGACACCTTAGTTATGGGCCTAAATACAGATTTGTCGTAATAAAAGAAAAAAAATCCTTTCTTTTTTCTTGTCAGTCCAAGACATCATTTATATACATCTGAAGATGCATGTACCATGCTGCATGGGTTTCCTACTCAAAAAATGGGAACAGAAAGACAAAGGCTCTTCCCTGTTTAAATGAAGCAGTTCATTCTGTAGTGCATTTTGTTAAAAGACATGAAGATTGAACAATTGCTCAAGTGACACAATACAGTGTTTGATAAGATTTTACCATCTAATAATAGGAAGACATGCCACAGTTTGTTTTTTGGGTTTTTTTGTTTGTTTGGTTGGTTGGTTTGGTTTTTTTGTTTTTTAAATATGATGCTGCTTTAGAAACCATAACATATGTAAAATACTTAAAGATAGAATTGAAATCAGTGAGCGAGAAATTAAGCTACTCAGAATCTGGGAAAAATGTTTTTATAACTCACTTATCTACACAGAGAATGACAAAAGTTGTTTTTCCTGTAGAAAAATAGAATCAATTGAAAACTAAAATAGGAAATGGGAAGTGCTTAGGAGGAAAATAAGGTAATTTTATGATGCTGACCATAAGTTAATTTGAAAGACTTCAAATTAGGAGGAACTGAGAAGAACCATTAAGATATAAGATGTATTTCAATCAGGTGCTACAGTTAGAATGGGCCACTTCTACACATTTGTGGGAAACTCATTTCAGACTAAGAGAACACCAAATCCAAAGCTAAATGCAAACACTTCATACCTTTTATTTTACTGAGGGCAGGGAAGGGGCAAGGGTTGCACTTTCAGTACTTGAAGTATTCTAAATAACAATAGCTCATACACTACAGTTGTCTAATAGAGATGTTAAAACTTGCTAGTCTACTTAAGCTACTAGTTCATGATCAGGGAGTAATCACATCAGGAGTATGTTTCTCTCGATTTTGCAGATAAAAGAAGCTGGGGCAGTGCTTGGAAATAATTCCTCAATAATCTGCCAAAGGCCAGCAGCAGAAGTGAGTCGAATCCTTCCTTATCTGATGCATACACCTACTGCTTTATCCACTAGCCAATGCCACTTTGCCTCCATATCCAGCTTACACAGTACAGCAAATGTCAGACCTCCATCAGGGAAGAGTGGGCACATCCCTAGGTCCGTATGCTTTTTATTCTGTCGTTGAGTCAGACTAACGTGCTCAAAAGTCAGCTTGAAACATAAATTAGAGATATCAAAGAAAGTTTAAAAAAAAAAAAAAATGTATCTTCAAGTGACAGCCCATACGTACATGCCCAGCAGTGGTGACTAACCAACAACTCCTTGCATTCCAAATTGTTAGTGAATGTCCTCTACACTAATCATGACTGTCAGGATAACTCTGCCAAATACTGTATTTCATTCTGATGCTGCCACAATGACACAGGGTTGGATAAACATGTGAACCCAGTTCTAAGAGGCTCTTCAGCATATAACCAAAACAGAGAAACCTAGGTATAGCTTAAGCTTTTGCAGTGCATACAAAGGGTCAAGGTAACAGTAGCATTGAAAACCTTCGCAGGACTAAGACTGTACCTGCCTCTAAACGAGGTAAACAACTAAACTTGAACGTATGTTCATACTGAGAACACCACATTGGGATGTTGTTGTGAATCGTAAGCTGAAAGGAAAAAGGAAAAGTCAAGCAAGCAAAATATTTTAAAATGGTTGAGATAAGCGAACACAACTTCTACAAAGATGAAAAATATGAGTATCAAAGGATCCTGAAACAATAGAATGGATAAAAGTAAAGGTTATTTATAAATTTAAAAACACAGGACAGACAACAGTTTCTTGAGGTTAGGTTTTAATTTAAGGAAGAAAAAACAACACTGAAGAAGTTTCAAAATCACCCTGAAAGGAAAAATATCTATGCACTCTATAGCAATTAATTGCTTCCCGAGTATCAGAACACAGTATTGGTGTGTTCTTGTGTCTGGAAAAAACAGGGTTTCATCAGAAAATACACCCCAAACTGAATTCCATTAAGATGTTTATTCTGCTTAGCTGGCCCTGCTTACCTGATTCCTCTCCTGGGATGCGGGAGGTATTAAACATCCGTTCCCACTGAGCTGAGCAGAGTGGAACAGTAGATCCCATCAGAAGAATCTGTGTCACAAATGTACATTAAAATGTAATTTTGCATATAAAATTAGCAAATTAAAAAGTAAAACCAGAATCTGGTTAAGAGACAGGCTGTAGAACAGTAAGATACATCAACTCAGGATTTTTATCCCTCCACCCCCTGTTCATCGTCTTTCCTTGAACCACACGTGGAAGATTCCACTGACATTCTAGTAGCTCTATTTTTTTTTCCCTCCTATCAAAAGCTCACCCTTCAGGAGGGACGACTGAAGCTAGCTAGCATCTGAAATCCAGAAAGTTCTCAATGGCCAGTCTGGATGCAAAACTTAATGCATGATGCATTACCCCTTAAATTCTTCTTTTAAAGCTATTTCTGGCTGTGTAGGAACAGAAGTTCACCTTTCTCAGATTTGCAGTTACATACAACTAATCACATCCCTGCCATGACCTTCAACAAAACTACTTAATTGTTTCTACAATATTTGTTCATTACAACATACAGCCACTGGACAGAACAGAAATTCAGAATGGGATTCACCCTGCTTATCTTTGCTACCTAGAAATCAGCGCAACCCATTTTATCACCGTCTACACTTGGGCTGCCACTGGCCCACTCTTGGCCTCAAGGTCCAGTTCTTTGCTCCAACCACCCCTTGTGCTCACACTACATGATACCACAGACTTTTCAGACTTTAGTGGCTCAGAAGTACCATCACATGCTTAGCACATACCAATAACATCTGTTACATGGAATATTTAACACATGCAAGTACAAGCCTCTATTTGTCTTTTGGGCAAATACATATGTTAATTTCAAAAACTGCAGTTAGTTGGCATGACAGAATCCTGTATTTTTGATAGTTGGTAGTTTCTGCCCACATGCAATTCAAGTGATAACCAAGGTGTTTGGGACCACAAATTAAGTTACATCTCACATGTAGTTCTCACAATAAGACATTATTCTCCTCTGCCATTCTGAAAACTGATCAACTTCTTACAGACTGTGCTGGAAAAAGATCAGAAGCCATTTAAACTGATATACATACTGGCTTGATTTCTTGTCTGTCCAGTTTTTTCCGATAGCGCAGGATGGCATGGATAACATTACCAGCTCTAGCTGCCTGCAGGGTTGTTGGAGATAAATAAAGGAAGTCCTGTAAAGTACGTAAGAATCATAAGTTAATGATTACCAGACTACATTTAAAAAAATACTGATAGTACTTCTCATCCACGTTCTTAAAGTTTATTTTGGTCTATACAGAAAAGGCTTTCGATCATATGAAATGTAGTGCAGCGAGTTGATGACTTGAAACTTAAATTTCTTCAACAGTCACAATACCCTTATACAGCATCAGGCCTAAAACATACATGATAGCTGTTAAACATTCCCGTAGAAAAAGACAATGCTTCTTAAAACTTGAATCCAGGACTACCATATTTTCTCTTTTTGCTTTTAATTTTAGGGTCTTTTACAATTTTACTTCCCATGCAGACATTTGCAAATATGAGCACACACCTTGTTGAATTGTGTTACCCATGAAGTTTTACATGGAGCTTTTGAAAGATTGCTTGTTGCAGTAAGCACAAAACTGTGTAAGTCATTACTACGTGAGTTTGCCTAAGTGGCAGATGTGCTAGGATTACTATTAAGATAGCACTGTACTTGAAGACACTGGCTGCAGGTTATACTAGAAGAAAGAAAAACAAAGGTCACATACTCAGTGGCAATGGATTTCTAAACAGAAAGATAACATGAAATAAGACACCTGGCTGACATTTTACAGTGCTGCTTTGACACATAAGGTGTTTATAGTATTTACCTACCATAGCAAAATAGTTACTGTTAACCATAATCGGTCCACGTCCCCTAAGGTAGATATATTCTTCCCACCAATCACTAACCTGTATCAGGAAGGAAAACAAAAGCAGTAGAATCTCAATTTCCATAGTTTATATCTTCTATATTAATGACTCCACAGCACAACATTCCATATGGAAGCAGGAAGGAAACTACTAGCTTGCCCCCTTACTTAAAGACAAAAACCAACCAAACCTCATTTGTGTTAAACTTAGGGAAAACAGCAAAAAAGGGGCAAGAGAATTAAATTCAATTCAGTTGTAGCTCTCTGATAAGCTTCTGAAGAAGTCATCATCTTCAGATAATATTTAAAATGTATCAGATATCCTGAATATTTTGCAGTCTTTGCCAGAACAGTCTAGTTTAGCTACTCTCTATAAAAAAGGTGTCTTAAATCACTTCTAAACAACCTGGGTACCCAGGTCCATTGGTGAGTTATCAAGGTTAATAAGTAAATAAACAGACATCAAAAGCAATTAGAACAGCAAAAGCTAAATCACCTGCTCCAGAAAGACACACACAAAATGAGGATTCACACTTTCAAGTTCCATTCACCACACTGTTCATCAAATCACACAAATTATTTCTGTGCAAATCAAGTGGTCTCTGGTGCACTTTACAAAAATATTAGAATATTTCTTCCACATTTAAGAAAGAATGAAAGTTAAGTCAAAAAAGGCAATGGGGAACAAATTAATTTATGTCATTTGAATGATCAAGCCTCCTATTTATCTACTCACATAGTTTGTGGCCCACCAGGATTTTAGCTTCAAATACCACTGAAGCCTTGGTCCCAAATTAAATGCAAAATCTTTGGCAAGACCCTCCATTCTTCTGAATTCGTCATCATCCATAAGTGGCCGAACTGATTCCAGATACTAGAGTACAGGAAAAGAATCAGCATAGTGACTAACACATAGCTTCTCACCATTCCTACACAAAGCATTTGAGCAGTAGACAAAGATTATCCAGACTCAATTCATAAGGTTGCAAATGCTATGTTGTTAAAATAAGAGTATATACTCTTCAAATATCTGCCTGCAAGCTACAAACATGAGATCTTTTTACAGACATCTGCCAGTGGAATCACAAGTGGAAGAGGTTACTTTCCTAAAGATACATTTTCCACACAAAAGGAGAAGACATACTGCTGCTTCAGTATCAGGCAGAGATATTTTTTTTGTCTCTAAAAATCAAACCTTCAGTTTCTGTAACATAGTGTTCTACTTGCACACTTTGCTGTAGGGCTTTGCATCATAAAACACACATTTATATGTTCAAGCTGTGGAAAGTAACAAAACCAGTATGTTGCAAAAACCCTGGAAATCACTATTTGTTGCATAGTTTTACATCCGACATCACATCATCCAATATGAATTATGCCAGCTTCAAATTGTCACCAGTTGCAGTGGTTTGTCCTAGCCTCTATTTTAATTTCGGTGCAGAAGTTTTAATCTATTACACCATATTAATACCACCATGCAATACTTTTATAAGATATGGTAAAAAAACCCACAAGGGCATCTAAATACAGATTCAATGTTACTGAAGAAAATTAATTAATGAATATACACACCCTATTGACTGTGTCTTTAACAGCTGGAACTGGCAATCGTGGTAAAGATGTCTGGAAACTGTATAACATGGGTTTACGTCCAGAAAAGAGTTTTACAAGTGTCTGAACAAAAACAAAATACACACCTCAAATTATTAGGTTCAACAAAAGAAAAAGTGACAGAGTAATAAAGTGTAACTCATAGTTCTTTTCACTGGTAAATTACACTGTACTAAATTTAGCAAACTATCATATTTATCACTGTTTCACAAATAAAAAAAAAGGCACCGACTTTTACTTCCTAAAGGTTAAACAACATGTCAGTGGAAAAAAGATGGTCAGTCATTCCTGACTTCCCAATCTTCTAGTCATTAGGCAACATTGCTTATGAATGGCACACATTGGTCTCAACAGAAAATACAGTTACTTAGCACTTCTTTTCTTTATACATTTCCCTCTGTAAAGATAAAAAAAGCAAGTCTACCAGTTGATCTTTTACTATATAGTAGATACTACAAAAATATCTATACTGTGCTTCAAAACACAGATCATTATCAAGCCTATCACTCAGCTAAGGATCCTAGATAACTATAGCCACCTTTCAAAACAATAATTATGCTTTGGAATTGTGGTTTAACATTTTCCAAAGTTATAGCTCAACATCAATAATAGTACTGATGTCACAGGGAGTTTTTCTTCAAGCATGAATATTTCAGGTAGTCTGCTGAATGATTTGAACATACTAAATTGTGCAAGCATGCCAGTGTTATGCTCAGTGCTTGTGTTACAAAAAACAAGCAACGAAACAAAAAGGCCAGAGATGACAGCTCCCGTCTTAGCTTCAGATATTACATCATCTCCTGTTTTCCATGGGAGATTGAAGACAGAAGCAGCATTTCTGCCTACTACTTCTCAGCGGTGACATGCACTAGGCTGAAAGTCTAGACCATGCAACTTCTACACTACACGTGAAAGGAATTTGACATTATCATCTGATTTCAGCTTGAAATTACAGTCAAGTATTACACCAACAATCCAGTGGAGCCTTTATTGTCAAAGTCCAATCTTGGTCCAATATACTATACCATATACTGTATACAGGCCAATAGACTAAAGACAGAAGAAAGCAGAGGATATAATTTCACTACTAAATTCCTAGAAGTTCTCCCTTCTATCACCCCCTCTCCCCAAACTGACAAAACTACTTGTTAAAATGTAGAATTTTTCTCCCCCTCTCAATTTCTGTGGTCAGCAGAGCTAGAGGAGGTTGTTTAGCACAAAATTATTGAGAATTGCAGAGCATTACCAGGAAAGATCTCCCTGCAAATGGATCGACTTCATAGATTTGTCATATGTATGTGGATGCAACCACAGTGATCAGCCCAGTGAAATCTATTTGTGCTTCATGACAAGATAAATTTGAAGCCAGGTGAGAAAAAAGCTCAGCTTTTCATAAGAAAACCTAATTGCATACTTTGAGACAATTTTATTCCACAACCCTCAAACCACAAAACACTGAAAATCATCTTCAGAAAATACCTACTTAACTGACAAAAACAGAAAACACATTTCACACTGTTTATCTCTTAAGTTAACTTGTAGTAGAGAATTTGTAACAGTTTGAGACCATTAAAGGGATCTGACAGATACACATAATTACATCTCTGATTTCATATGCAGACACAACAGTCTCATTCTAGCATGTGTTGCATCTGTTCACAGATCACTACTATTCTTATTTTTTAAAACTGCAACTCGTAATTGGACTTTTCCCCTAATCCTGGTACAGAAAATTTGACTTTAGAAGATGAAATATGTCAATTAAAAGTGCCACCAGACTTCCATCAAGCCTGAAAATCAGTTTGTACTGTGACAAATCGGAGCTCAGGGTTTTGATCTGCATGACTATTTGAGCAGAAGACAGCATATTAACAGTAGCATTTTTCACGCTGTTTGTCAGCATGAAAAACTGCTAAGAAAAAAGCCTAGCCCAAAAGGAAAACCCCTCCAGAAAATTAGACAATATTAAAGGATAATAAAAATCTAGAAAGCTAAGGTAGTTGGTACAGTTTTACTAGGGAAACCTAGTTCTCTTTTGTTGGCACTATCTGAAGAAAGAATAAGGTATTAAAATAGAGCTTCATATTAAGTATAGGTGAGATACTGTTGGGCATACAACTTTACAGTGTTCTCTATTTTAAAACATACATGACACAAAATACATATGCAACATATATAATAGGCATAAATTTATAAATACAATATGCAACAAAGCATGGTAAGTGGCATTACAGGTCAAAGGTTGATAAAGCAATATTAACAGCTTTAAAATATCTATCTGGTAAGGCATGCTGAAAACCCAGACAGCTACAGCTTCAAGCAACTGACAGAAAGCCTTACCATTCAGAGCCTGTACTGTACAAATTCAAGTCATGAGGTTCCTGATACTGCTTCCAGGAAAAGCTATCAATTAGAAACTTCATTTGTAACAAATGAACATTAAATTCTATTTTAGTGTACTATTCTGGATACCTGTTCTTGAACATATTTCATAATAAATCATGACATGTTGTTAGTCTAATACACATCAGTTCATTTTTGAGGCTGCATAGACTAATTTTACTGTAGTAGGGCACTTATTTCTACAACAATACTGTCAAAAGTGAATTGAAATAATCAAGTAACAAAAACCCACTTAATCTCTTAGAGCACATTTTCTCACTTTATCCCTATCCCATCCTTTAAGGATCCTTTTCCAAAGCACCACCGTAATCAAGAGGAGCCAGATTATTTATCTATCCTCATGTGAAAACCACATAACAAGCTACCTAACCTCATGCTTTTACTCCAGCTCATTCTGGAGACATACCACTAAATATATTAAAAGGACATTCAATATTATTTTCTTCAAGCATAAGGTTAATTTTAGAATGGATGACCAGAAATTCTAACATTTCAACAAAGATTTAGGGTAGCATTTTCTGAGGAGGACAGGATTCTTTAGTGCTGCAGCCCAGGTTCTTTAAGCTGTATTTGCATAGAGGAAAAAGTAGGTATTTGAGTCAGAGTCGCATGGCGTTGGCAAGTTTAATAGTTATTCTGAAGTGTTTACTCTTCCTTCTACAAGACTATCTTGAATAGTTTAATTATAACATCAGAAGGATGACAGTAATTAGTAGAAATGGCTACCTAACAGCCTTCTGTCCCATGACACAGAAAACACAAGCAAGGAAAAACCTACAAAATTTTCTCTTTTAGGACTTTGAATACTGATCAGATAGAAGTAAAGATGAAACAAGACGACAATATATCCTTACCATCCAAAACTTGGTGCCTGCAGAAATTTTGCCATGTTCAGTGAATATCCAGCCATGATAGGAAAGCAGCATTTTTAGAGAGTAGCGCATTGTGACAATAAGGGCAACCCAAAGCCCTGTGCCAAAAAGCATTCCACTCACGATGTTCTGCGTTTGGTTTGACATATAGCCGCTATTTAAAACAAAAGCCAGCATGTGCCAGTTAATGTCGGTTTAATTTCTAAAGAGAACCTAGTATTGCAAACCTAAGTCTAATGGTACTACAGGCAGGCATTGCACAAGCCTCATGCCTGTTTAGCCCTTTTTCATAAACTCCTCTCCAAACACCCTCTCATGCAGCAAGTTCAAAGGCCACAGAAGTTGCCAAATGTTCTTCCCAAATACTCAGAAAACAATGTAGTAATACTGGTATAACAACCTACCTATTTCATACCCTCATACATCTGCTTATTGGACTCTGTCACAAACATACTGTTCAAAAACTTTAACAGCTCTAGCTTTAAGAGTAGCTACAACTAAAACTGATTTCCTTTAGAGGAACAGTAACTTTTCAGTCTACTTACGTTGTATCAAGTGTTCGGTTGATTTTAGCTATTATTCCTAAAGAAGGATCAATTTTGGCATACATTGTTGACATCACACCCACAACTACAATAAGCCAGCTAGATGGGCTAGCAGGATAAACGCCAGTGATAATTCCATTCTGGAAAGAAAAGCCTTCACATAATTTTTTCATACCAAAGTGGTTGACTTAATATTTACCATGGAAAGAAACAAAAATCAACACATTTGAGTCATTTAGTTTTAAATTAAGATTATCCAACATTTTCTTAACAGGATTAAGGAATGGATTAAGTTTGCTACAGTTTTGTAGACAATACTGATCCTGTGGCAAGTCTCACTAAAAATACTGAAAATAGCAAACAACTTTGGAACAAATGACACTTCAATAATTCCCAGTTACACTGGGTTAGGTTTCTCTAAATGAATACATGGCAAAAATACTTTACTGAACAAGACACTGAAAACTTCAATGAAGGGGGTTTTATATCCTTTAAACAGTGCTTATAACTTTAAAAGAAGATTTTAAGAGTACTGTTAAAAATATGTTTTTGAAAGAAATGTTGAAAATAACCTGTAGCTTGTCTAGTTCGCTACTAATAAAACAGATACTTACCATTTATGATTCCATGAACAAAACAACTTCACAACAATCTCTATCAAATACCTCATCAGAAACATTACTACTTAGCATAACTTGTACAAGATAGATGCTCAGGTAACTTCTTAAAAACAACAAACATCCTCCTTAATTTGAAATTTTAATTTTGGCAAAGAATACTTAAAATCAAGAGTATAGTCTTGTATTTCTAAGTGATGTGACACTAAAAATCACAACTAGTTATATTTCTGACTTATGCAAAAAGATTACATAATTAAATGATGTATTATGAAGAGAATGAAGCAAATTAAAGCTATTAATTTCTACATCTGTTTCATCTTGTTTCCACAAAATAAATCAAAAAGATATACCCTTTCAGTCTCTACAGCATCACCCAGTGCTACCTTCCTCAGCATCCCTTGTCTTAACAAAAACCTACACAAGCCCTTCACAGTAATGAACTTTATTTGCCGTAAAGGCAAAAAAAAAAAAAAAAAAAATAATTTTGCCTAAGCAAAACTTCAATAAATCTATAAAATGTTACAAAACCCTCAAGTTTGGTGGACTTAATTTAAAATACCTTGAATCTGATGAACTTTTTCTTCCACGAATGGACACCAGATAGGTAAATTTGTTTGAGCGCCTCATGGCTCATTCGCAGGTCAATCCCATCTGGAGTTACCGTAAATTGAAAAGCTACTGCTTGATGAGCTTCTGCCATTTTCAGAGAGAGTTCTGTCAAGAAGCAAAAATAAAAAATTATCTCCTCTTCGTTCAAAAGAACCAAGAGCTAGTCCATTTCTAGCAAGATATCTTCTATCCAGCAATTTTGGGAAATATTTCAAAGTATGCCAAATTTACATACAGTACTTGCCTCTTCCTTACAGGCTATGCTTGCACTTCAGTCTCAGTCTCCAGTATGTTAATTAAGGTACCTCTTCTAACCACAACAGCTGAAAATAGAAGCAAAACACTCTCATGTAACTTAGGACTTTTGGGAGGACCACAGCAAGCTGAATATTGTGCATACATGCAATATATACAATTTCAGACCAGAACAGAAAATTAAAGCCATAATATTGAGAAAAAGCATATCGCAGGCATATAGCATCTCATTCTGTAATGATTGAGATTCAGAAAACGTGTGGGGTTTTTTTTTGTTTGCTTTTGGATTTTTGTTTTGTTTTGTTTTGTTTTTGTTGTTTGTTTGTTTTGTTTTGTTTTTTTCATAATTTTGAAACAAAGGTATTTAAAGTCTTTACCTCAGCTAGCAAAACAAAGCTGCTTCTGGCCATAACTTCCTCTGAAATTTTTTTCGTATCTTAATTTCAAGCTGATTAGTCACAGCAGTAAGACTCTACGGGTCCTGTGGCTCTGACTGGCAAATAACCGCAAAAATCAAAACTACACAGAGCTGAGGAAACCAAGTCACAACTGTCAGAAAAATGACCTTCACATCAACAAATCTGAAATTAAGAGGAAACTTAATTGAACTTCGGCTCAGTTCAACTACCCAAACAAATAACAACTGTGCCAATATAGAGGGAAGACCATCATAAAGAGCAAGCATAACAGGCTCAAATAAAAAGCACTGGAAGTTAAAACAGAAATGTAACTGATTCTGTTTGCATATTTATGGCTCAACTTTGTCTGAGGATACAGTCAATTTGAACTGAACTGTATGCTCTTATTTATCAGCTCATCTTCATAGCTTCTTTCTTTCCATAACAAGCATTTCTACAGAAATATTCTGGAAGTTACCCCTACTCATCATTATTTCAGACTAACATTTGAGCACTTACAATGAGAACATAGGTTTTCACAGACAGGCTCTATGTATATAAAGATTGAAATGGTCCAAACTACATATTCATGAGGACAGCATTGTGATTCCAAAGACTTTTGCCCACATCCATTTATTAGTTTACCAAAACTTCTGTGCATAATCCTAAAAACAACATCCTGTTAGAAGTATGGCAAAAAGGTAGAGGAATACATAATTTCCATCTGTAAATCAGGATTCAAAGGCAAGTTTTAATTTTCCATTTCTGCTGGTACAAAACACAACCATTATCAATACCAAGTGTTTTAAGGTGGCACTTGCATTTCTACTTAAATGAAATCAAAAGAAAGTACAACATGCTTTTTGATTCCTAAAGGCTGAAATTTATGTTTCTTTTGCAAGCCTGGAGCTTAGACTTAGTAATCAAACTTAAATTCTGGTAGACATTCATCCCCTGTTGAACAGCGCAGAGGGCTCACCAGTGCAGTTTAGCTGTGCACTTTTAAGTTTATTATGACTGTAGTGCTGCTTCTCTAGTTTGTAAATATTCTACTATGTCAAGGTAATCTGGAGCACAAAGAAGAGGTGAGTAGGAATAGACAAATAGGGAATGCTGCAGTAGTAGTAGGCTTAGGAAATAAATACACAATTAGGCAGAGATGAACAAGATTAAGTGCTGTTATTGCAGCATCTAGTAAGGTTGTTGACCAATACGTACTGACTGTTTGCGATATTTAAAGTGCTAATCCCCAGATCAATCTGCAATGATCAACCACTGCAATACAGCTACTGCTACAGCAGCTGGTGGTAACATACAGGTATCTCAAATCCATCAGCCACTGCTTAAGTTTTAGAGGCTGAGCCCTGGGTGAACCAGGCTTCTGGCTTTCCAGAAGGGTAGCTAAAACTCAGTGTCATACTGATAGCATGCGATTTGATCCATGAACGTACAGCACCCAGTTAGCACAACAAAGAAACCAAATCTGCTTTGAACACCAGTTTCAAAACCTTTAAGACAAGACCTGTATGCCCTAGTAACAACTGTAATTTGTAGTACTTAATGATTCTATCACTAACAACTGTTTATTCATAGGGGCCTTGCTGTAGACAAGTATCAGGAAGTCAAAGTCAGTTGTCCATTCATTCATTTAAATTGTGCATCACCAGTTCAATGTTGAGACCAAAACTATGACTCAGCAATAAAACAGAGACAGGCAGTAGTAATACATGGTATACCCTGGATTCAGCAGGGTTTGCAAAAGGGGAAAGCACTTAAGAATTCGTCCCATGTGTAGCAGGGCTTTTAAGAGTGGGATGAAAATCAAAACAAAACCACCCAACGAAACCAAACATATCCCCATACGGAGAATCAGGCACCTGGATTTGTCCCAGGAAGGGCCAACAGGTTCACCAGTTCACTTATGTTATTTTGTGTTCTGGAATGTCATCGTCTTACATACCAGATCGGCTAGTTTCTATTACCCTTCAACTCCCCTGTGACTTCTCAGGCTGGGAATTTGTAACTAACCTCCTCTGTTTCTGAAAAGAAAAAATTTCAGGAACCCTTCCCTTTTTAGGCACATGCATTTCTACTGTCCAAGGCAGAAAAAGATTATAAATAGCATTAGTCATAAACAGTCAGTGCAGTATTTTAATGAATCAAAACTCAGCATGATCATAAAATTAAATAAGCTTCAATAACAAAAATGTATTCCTTTTTCCCAAATGAAGAAATATTAATCTGGCAAGAATTAATCCTGAATCAAGTAAACAAGCCCTGAAAACAAAGAGAAGTCTAGTTCTAGGACCGTATTAACCCGAAGTGTGAAACAACCAAGTGGCTTGTTTCTTTTCACATCCTTTTCCTTTACTTAAAAAAACTGTAAGCCTTCAAGAATGTTCTGAATTATGATGGCTGAACACCAAAGACTTCCTGAAGTCCCTTTCTTTGAACACTTATTTTCCTCCTTAAAGGCCAATTTAATCATAAGCTGCTGTACACTTCCCCTCCTCCGCATTCCTCTGCTGTCACGTGCTTGCTAGCAAAGTAGGTAAAAGGGCAGGGGCCAGAGGAGCATGCGCGGAACTGAGAGACTTGACTTGCCAACGCCAGTAAGGCAGCACCCACATCAATCAGCGAACACTGAAACAATAACTCCTTCTGACTTCAGGCATTTTGGTCAGTAAAGTATTTCTCTACAGCATACAGTAATTAACCTAATTCCCAACAGAGAGTCATAAACAACAGCTTTTGACTTTATTAGCAATTTGGCCAAGTCTTACTTAGAGGGGAAAAAAGAGCACAGTAATTTCTGACAGTAACCTGAAATGGCTATTTTCATTCCTTTCAATGTTCTCGTGTAATATTAACATATCTTAAAACACACATTTGCCCCTTTAATTTTTTTTTTTTCTTTTTGCTTTTAAAGGAGAAAACTGCATGCTCTTTGCTCTTTTCTGGTTTTACTTCAACTCAAAGATGCTGTAACAGCTGCACATATTTCTCCTCTTTTCATACCTTCGCTTGAGCCAATCAAAACTTACCACAATTTTTTTCCATTGTTATAAACAAGTACTGCTCGGTTGGATGTCACTTTTAGGTCAAGAAAACACATAGCACACTAGAAGGCCTAAACCCTGATTGTCTGAAAAACTACTCTGCTGTGCCTACTACACATAAAGCCGCCTCAGAGTGCTGCTCTTGCAGTTGTAGGATATTTTCACTACAAAGACAGAGGTTTAACTCTCAGACTGCTCACAGAACTTATGATTTCAGGTTGCAGACACTGAACAGTCAACTCTGTATTAGGGCTCCTGCAGCCACAGAAGGAGATGAGGACCTCAGCTCTGGAAAATCTGAAGCTAAAAGAGTTCCCATGTGCAGGATGCTTCCATTTAGTCAGGCGTGCAAGAAGTCACTTGTGGTTGGTAATGTCTCTCTGAAGCACATAACACTGAACACAATGTTTAAAAGACAGCTGAAAGAATTACCATGTGCATCTTAAAAAGCACCAAGCCATGATACAAAAGTTAAATGTATTACAGTACGTTGCACAAAACAAGGTATTAATTCCTGAAGCGGTTACTTTTGGAAATGCTATTGAGTATAAATCCTTCTGTGTTTCTGTAGATTTCATAAGCTTTAGATTGATAAAATGATAGGGCTAAAAAAAACAGTCACCATCACTACCTCAAAAAAAGCAATTCTTCTGCTTCAAGGGGATATCCATGTCACCTCTTATCTCAGAAACTCTTCTTAGCCACTTGTTTGCCATACATTGCTTGGCTCGTGCAAACCATTTTTTTCCCCTCCATTTCCTATTCCCCTTGGAATAAAGAAAACCCTGTCTCCTTGGTATGAGTCCAAACATCCACATATTATCTAAAGGTAGTTTTCACACCTATAGCTCCTCTTCCTGCAATGGAAGCAAGTTAACAAATGTAGACGAAAACTGGAGAGAAGCCTTATTCACATGTCCCAGAATAGCTAAAACCTTGGTAAAAACTTAATTCTATGACTCTCACTTGTGAGCTACTTCAACAATTTAGTTTGAGGCTCTTCTCACATGTTTTTGACATCTATTTATAATTTAGCTTTTATATACAGGGCATACACCTATCAGTAACCAAATTAAGCTCACAAAACATTTATCTCCAAATGGTCAACCTTTGATAGTCAAAGTAGAATGTTTTCTTGGAAAAGCAGTGACTGTTGCATACAGCATCTCTGAGAACATTACTACGTACCACCCCCCACAGGTTTCATACTGACAGAACCCTCATTTGGCATCCAAACCATAGATGGCAGGCAGACTTGCAGCATCACATGCCCCTCTGCTAAAAGCAAGAACCCGTTGCATCTTGAAGTATGATGGTAGTTCTGAATACAGAACCACCTGGAAGCCCTCGTAACTTCATGCAGATGCAGAGCACCACCGACAGAGCAGTGAGAAGCATCTTGTCACATAGGTAGTATATTTGATTCCTGCCAAGTTCCTACTAGCAAGATTAAAAGAAAAAAACAACAAAACCAAAACAACCAAACAAAACTGAACAAAACAACCCAACCAGAAACCTGACCTTGAAGAATTATTTGTTCCTTTCCTAAAATAAACTTACAACTTCAAAATTTAGCTTAGGGCTCAGGTTTCACAAATAGGAAGAGACTGATGAGGAGAAGAGTGATACTAAGTCATTTACAATTACATTGTTTAAACAAGTTTTCAAGATGGGAAGTAGAGAGAGGTATCAGCTGAAAGTACATTAAACCCAGTTTTAGTCAGTAAAAATACTTAAAACTACATTAAGATTTCCATTTAAAGCTAGACACTTTGAACTCAAGGTCTTGAGAAACCAGTCAAGTGCCCCAATGCCTTTGTCCCCAAACCAGTTTATTTCAAATAGAAAGGGAGGGAATTCCATTTCTATCAACATGCAAAGCAACAAGAGTCATTGTCTGAATGTTACAAGCTGCCATACAGAACAGGAAAAAAGTTCTGGAGCTCTCAAGTTCTGTAAAAAGACTTCAACTTTGAAACTTATTTAAATATTCAAAACACTGAATAAGTTTTATCTAGTATTTCACTGTCCACACATATCTCCCTTCAGGAGATGAGCTTGCTACAGCTTTTGGAAGAAAACAAACATCCAGAAGGTTTCATTTGTATGTTCATTTGGTAAGATATTTTGACATTTTAGGATAGATCACTGAATTCCAAGAGTCTGACAGATCTAATGAAATCAGAGCCAGTATTAAAACACTAGAACACCTGTGCTGTGTTTGTGTTGAGACACTGATCAAGTATTTTCTCTCACCCAATTATGCTATTACTATAGAATTTGGGATTTTCTACTCTCCTAGAAAGCCAAAATTATTAATGCGTTTTGTTTTATGCATATCAACAAATAACTGTTTATGCTCAAATCTGTTGATTTCAAGCCAGATACTAAAGAGAATTCTAAACAGATGCCCATTTATGTCTCCTCATGCATTATTCCAGATTTCTCTTCAGAATTCTCTTATTGATGCTCCTGTCAGTTCAAGCCTTCAGAACTACCTACACAAAGTAATTCAGACAACCCCATGGCAGGTGACTTTGCCTAGGTAGTATGCTTGCAATGAAATGACATGTAGTGAAGCTCAAAAACGCCAGTACCAATGTCCTAACATAACTTGCTAGCATGCTAGTTTACTTCCACACTTTGTCACCAACTACAGTTCAATAGCAACATTGATCTGTATAGCCATCCCAGAAGTGGATGCAATCTATGGATAATCAAGGCTGCTTGAAGCTTTTGTTGAAAAAAACTCATGCAAACAAGGTTCTCCAAAAAGTGTATCAAATACTTACATCAAGCAGCAGGATCTCTTCTTACACAAGTGTAAAGGGTTAGTCTTCCAAAAAAATTTTTGTAAGTGTAGTTGTCTTTGTAACATCAAGTATGTCTTCAACTATCTGAATTCTGCAGAGGTTCTGAAGTCTATCAATATGACACCCTTCCAGACGTTTGATGGAAAAGTAGCAGCTGTCAAACCTATTTAAAAGGTTGAAGACAGCAAAAAAACAAAGAAAAACTGCAAAAGAATTTACAGATATAGGGACTGAAACTGGGATTGACAGACCAGAGGATTTCACTGCCATCCAGACGGACCTCGACAGGCTGGAGAAATGAGCAGGCTGAAACCTTAAGTTCAACAGAGAAGTGCAAAGTCCTGCGCCTTGGGAGGAGTAACCCTTACACCAGTACACACTGGAGACTGACTGGCTGGAAAACAACTTTGCAGCAAGTTGCACACAAGCCAGTAAGGTGCCCTTGCAGCAGAGGTGGATAACAGAACCCCGGGGTGCATTAGGAGGAGTGTTGCCACCAGGTTGAGGGAGATGACTTCTCTCCTACTCAGCACTGGTGAGGCCCCACCTCAAATACTGCGTCCAGTTCTGTGCTCCCCAGTAAAAGAGAGAAATTAAACTACTGGAGAGAGTCCAGTGAAGAGCCACTAAGATTGAGGGCTTGAAGCATCAATCCTACTTTTTTATACACTTTTACCTGTATACCTAACAGAGATGCTTTATGAAATTTAATGTAGGGGTTTTCATAATAGATCTGCTTCAAAAAAAGCAAGCTTACTTTAGAACATTAAGTCCTGAACAAGAAATCCTGTGCTTCAGTTGCTTTAAGTGAAGAGCACACCTTGGGAGTCAAATTGGTTGTAGCAGTCAAATATTCAAAACAAGCAAGTTTACCGAAACTGACAAAAATGTACTATTAGTTCGCAAGATAAGAAAAGCTAGATTTTGCAGTAAAATTCGTACAGAGAGTTTGCATACAATGATTCATCTGAATTTTTCAGCATTATTCCAGTAACTTTGCCCTCGCTAAAAACCACCAGTATGTCATTATAAAAGGTTTTAAAATGTATGTTGGTATTTTAAACACCACTACATTGTCTAATGAGAGTCTGCTTATCTTAAGGCAGCATGTAGATTTCTGGAGCTGATCTGAAGTGCCAGGTATACTTCAGTGATAAGGTGGGACACAGTACAAACTCCTAATAAGAAACAGACCCTTGGAATTTAATGTTACATGTATATACCTATGTAGAGGAAGCATTGGCTGTTCCTATCAGATTAAGAAAGCCTGTATTATCAAGAATAAACCCAATGTGACTTCAGTAAAGTGTTTTCATGGGGTTTGCTATAAATGCAATCATTTTAGACACTAATGTACATGCTGTACAACAGCATCCAGCACTGACTCAGTATCTCAAGGTCCCAACCACTCTTATGTGAGTGACTCCCTCCCCACCACTATCTGACATAAATACTGTAATTCTGCCTTAATTCTAGAGGCTCAATTAAGTAAGGCAGCTAACCAGAGAATGTCAAAAGGATGCCAAAACCACTTTTACTCATGTGTATCTGGTGCTCCTTTGATGCACAGCTGAATGGTTAAAACTAAGGCTAAAGAAATAGCATTCAGTTTAACAGAAATACAAAGATCAAAGTTGTCTAGAGTGTTATGCCTTTCAAAGGAAATTCAGGTTTTGATCTATAAAATCTTCAGTAAACAGTATAAAATACACAGCTCAAGCATTTAAACATATGACCAAGAAGACTGTCTAGTCTCTCTTGTATCTATTTCTTGGATATTCTACTAGCTAATGCCACTTTCTTGTGCGTACACTACACTTCTGCACAAAGGTAACAAGATATCAAAGCCTCAGAAAAGGTAGAGAGCTTATTCATAGTTCATGTGATATTCCACAAGGTGCTGACTTCTGAACTTACTATAAAGATTAACCAGACACTGTTATTCACTTGAGAATTTCTAAATAACTTACTTGCATACTAGCCTTCAATAATACCTCATCATGCTTCGGCATAGAAGACAACACTGATACTAGTGGCTCTCAAGTCTTACCAGTAATTCACCTACCTTACAATGACTAATCATATTCTACAGACACAAAATCATTACTGGAAATCTGAGAGGAGTGAAGCCAAATCATTTCTGTGCAATAGTCATGTGGATTAAATTCACTCAACAGGGCTTCTCAGGTGAACCTAATAACTATGGCATAGAAATAAAACAGAAACCAAAGAATCACTCTCCTTTCAAACTTGAATTAACATAGCATTCAATTATCATTTGATCTGATGAAAACAAAGTTTAACTGATAGGTTCTCTCATGCCACTTTAGTTGTGACTGACACATGCTAAAACCAGTTTAAGCCTCCTGAAAGCTGAATCTGTTGTTTATGTGGCAGTTCTCCCTCACAGGGTCCCTAAAGTAAAATTACTATGCCATGACTGAAGTGGCTTAAGACAGAAGCCTCTCCTCAAAGAGCCATCATTTAACATGTGAATTTCAAGTTCTCATCTTTGGTTATTGCTAATCAGTGGCTCCAATGCATCCCACCCTCACCTACAGTGGACAGTTACAGTCCCTTAGAATTGCAAACATCTTAAAGGATTGCTCACATCTAAAAAAATGAACAAGTGCTTTGGTTCAAGCCAAGGTGGGGAACTGAATATATATATCTGCCCAGGTACAGCAACACTGGGACCTACTGCAAACATCACCCACAGCAGACAGTTTGAAGGCAGAACAGCTATGGAGTTTTCAGTAACTTGCTCTCCCACTGAGAAACCTATCAGCTTGTGTCTGGTCCTCAGCAGTTTTCCAAGATCACCTGTGGGTAAATATTAGCTACCCTACCCTCTGCAGGCATCTCCTTTGAAACGTTGAGCCAATTTCTTTATCCCCTTCCCAAATGGTAAACTGGAGCAACAGGCATATATGGGAAAAGATGATAAAAAACAGACCAATGAATGAAACGTAAGCATACCTGAACAGCTGTCTTCCTTAAAAGCAGACTTGAGAACTAGTTGTCACACAGAAATCTTCTGTCCCACAAGCTTACTGCAGCAGGGATCTTGAATAGGTTAGGACACGCTGAGAGGCAGATTCATTCCAATGCTGCTAGCTCCTAATAGACATCACACTACAGCAACTGCAAACAGTCAGTTGTAGCTCTGAAACAGAAAGTCAAGAAAAACATTCTGAGCTTTGATTGACACACAGCTTTCAACTGCTCCAAGGGACTGGATCAGACTGGAACCATTTGAGAAAAACCAATGGCAGTGTAGAGAATAGTCACAAACAGCAGTTCTGAAACCGTTTTCCATTACACTAGATGAAGGTATTATCTGGATTTATCTGTCTTCATTTAACAGGTATGAGATGGTGAGGAAGTGTGGAGTGAAAGAAAGTTCACCTGCTACCCACTCAGTCATTTCTGGGGGCTCAAACTAGTGATCACTAGCTAGTGAGATAAACAAGGTGATCTCAGGGGCTAGACTCCAACATTAGTTTCAACTTTCAGTTTAAGACATCTAAGTGTTTGCCTGCGGGCTTTAAACTCCCATTACAGTCAACACAGATGCCATCAAGATTTCTTGGAGAGATGTTCACAAAACAGACCGTTTTCACTGGCACTTCCAGGAAAAAAAGAGTAAGTTGTCTTCTCACCTGATCAAACTGGAGATAGGCAAAAAAGTAGAAGAGACTAGCTACAGCCAGTGTAGCAAACAGTGTGTGGCTAACTAAGAAACATGAATCCCTACCCTTTCTGGGTCATATGGCCTCTCTTGCCTTCCCAAATAGCATGCTCTTATAAAAGATGGTTCCAAATTATACACTTCAACAAAAAACAAAAACACAACACTGACATGCTCCACAACCGTAATCAAAACAGAAACTGTCATATTATTTACATTTTTCCCCCTATACAGAGTACGGGATACTATACTGTTCCTAGACCTTTTAGATTATCCTAGTCTATATTGAAACATACGTTACATTGTATACATCCCATCAAGCTACCTCCTCTGACCTTCTAGAAATTCAGAATAACCTTGCAGAGTAAGAGATAAGCATACAAAGCCAAAACACTGCACAGTTATCATACCGTGCAGAAACCTCCCCCCCTCCACTAGGCTCTAGAACTGGGTATTTCTTTTAAATACTGCTATAAAAGACAACTAGGCATTTAGATTATAGGAGTTTTATCTCTTCTCTCTCCTTTTGCACTAATGTGCTTCTATGTTCATGCAGGAAAGAAGAATTATTATCTTCTGTATAATAACAAATATTTCTGAAACAGCAGGACTTCTGAGACATGCAAGATGTCACATTTTCGAACTTTGGTGATCCTGGAAGATGGACAACGTTTGCCGACCAAAGCCAAACTGGATGGATTGCTCTAGCAGCAGTCCAATCATCATTTACTGCACAAGGTTGAAAGATCCAAGTAAGGTCTTTCAGCCTGTATAATGTTGAAAGACAGAAGAACCAGTTCCAGACATTCTGCAGATATTTAAATCGACCATTCAAATGAAAGTCAATGCAGACATGGAAAAAGAGGGATGCTTTCCAGTCATTTAGATCTTGTTTTTTTCTGAACATGTGGCGTTCAGGACTATGATACAGCATCCTGCAGGACACAAAGACAATGGCTTTGGAATATTAAAAAAAAAAAAAAAAAAAAAAAAACAACAACAAAAGCACAGCTTTTGATTGATTTTTAAATACAAGCATTCGCTGAAGTCGCCTTTTACCCAAGATTTTTCAGAGCGAGTCACGCTCGGGATTCAGCCTTCCGCCTCCCCCTGCACGCAGGGAACAGTCACCCGCGCTGCCAAGCGCCGCGCCCGCTCCGACCCGCGCAGCCGGAACGCGGGGCGCTGCGGGACGGGCCCGGCCCCCGCCCCCCCCCCCCCCCCCGCCACCCGAGAAGTGGGTGAAAGGTCGCGCCGCCGCAGCGCTGCGCAAGCCAACAGCGGGTGGGCAGCCCCGCCCCGGGCTACCGCCCCCCCCCCCCCCCCCCCCCCCAAAGCTGGGAGGGAAAAGCGCTGTACTTCGCTTGTGCAACCGGACAGTCTCTGTTCCGGTTCTCGGGGCCAAAATCCTCCAGATGTTTGATGTTACCGTTTTCTGTAACCAAGAATAATGCTTTCTTCCTGGAAGAAGCTCTTGAATCAAGGCTGTAACACCCCAGAATTTTGAAGAGCCCTCAGATCAACTTACCTCTTAAACCCAGTCACAGCTATGACAGAGCCCGGTAACTATGTAATCGCGTAAAGTTACATTTCCTAAGCTTCCACATCATACTTACCTACGGTATCCCCTGTGCTATTATAAACTGGTAATTATTAGTTTCTACCAGTATTTCAGTATGCTCACAATAAGAAAAGAACCTGCTGGTTGCCACTGAAGACTGCAATACTTTTTTTATATAACATCCAGTCACAGTGGTCAGAACACACATAGACCTGTGCTTGTAGATCTGGAAATTGAAGAGGTCAGACACTTGGGGAAATAATAATTGTTTAAGGAAAGGAGAATGAAGGCATTAGATCTTTCCCATTCTCAGTGCTACACTCCTACAAACACGTGATAAGGAAGTGAGTAGTATTTATGTACAGTAATCTCCTCTGGACTGCAGTTCCAATATGATTGTCCTCTAAGTGCTGACAAATTGCCAGATAAAAGGAAGAATGAGATATCTGTCTTGATCCTACTATGTTCTTTTCTCTTTCCAAAAAACGTGCTTCCTGTATTGCTCCATCAACACTTGTATAGATGTTATGACTGAAGTCATATTTGAAGTTGATTTTTCTATTTAAACCAGAAAAAAATAGCGCAAAATATGAAAGCTGTACAAAAATGAGGCAAGAAAATGGGAGTCTCAAGATACTGCAAAAAGATCTCACTCTACCTTTTGCAACAAGTCTAATCAGCATTCTCGTCCAGTAAACCTGCCATGCCACGAACAAAATACATCCAGGCAGAAAATATTATTTCTCAAACGCAGCTTGCCGTGTCTGCGGTTTTTAAAGGTTTCACAGCCTGCAATCACATGAGCAATCGGACTAACCGCTCGCTCGCTCTCACAAACACACACGATGCAGTACTTCGTTTACGCGCAGTTTAAAGCTCGCCACTCACACCGAGCCGCGTGAGCACTTCCACAGCGCTTCGGCAGACTCGCGCTAGTCCTGGGAACGGGTCACCCGCGAAACTGCGGGTCACGCCCGCGACGCGGGCTCAGCGACTCTCCCCGCGCGGCTCTGTCACGGCGGGGACGCGCCACCTCCCGAGCCGGAGCCGAACGCGAGCGGGATGCCAAGGGCACCTCCGCCTTCCCGGGGCCCTCCCGCGCCCGGCGGCGCGCAGCCCCGCTCCCGCGCTTGCACCCTTTCCTCCGGCAAGGGTAGGAAGCCGCACTCGCGCATTCGCCCTAGGGAAAGCAATTCACGAGGCTAAAAACCAGACGGACCGAGCCCGGCCGCCTGACCGCGGTCCTGCCCTCCCTCAGCCCCAGCGCGGGGAGCGGCGCGGGGCGAGCGCCGAGGGGGCGGGGAGCGGGGCGGAGCGGCGGCCCGCAGGGAGCCCGCCGGACCCGGCGGAGCGCGGCCCGCCGCTGCACCCCCCCCCCGCTCTCCTGGGACCGGCGGAGCCCACTGCCTGAAGGCAACGGGGCTGCGCCGCGCCGCGCCGGGAAAGCCGGCGACCTGCGCCCCACGCCTGCCCCTGGCTCGCTGCCGGCGACCGGGCCCCCTCCCGCTCACCTGCTGGTGGAATGGCGGCTATCAGCGCTCCGGCACCAGCTAAAAGCCAGTGAGGCGGCGGCCGCTCCCCGCCGCACCCTGAGGGAGCCGCGCTTGCCGCCCGCTCACCCATTGGCTGCCGGCCGCAGGGGAGGAGGGGCAGGCGCTGCCCGGCTGGGCGGAGCGGAGGCGGCATGGAGGTGGGCTCCGGTAGGCGGGGCGGGTTGTGGGATGTACTGGGAGGGGCGGGTCGGGCTGTATGATTGGCAGGGAGGGGCGGGGCGGGCTGTGGGATGGGCAGGGAGGGGCGGGGCGGGCTGTGGGATGGGCAGGGAGGGGCGGGGCGGGCTGTGGGATGGGCAGGGAGGGGCGGGGCGGGCTGTATGATTGGCAGGGAGGGGCGGGGCGGGCTGTATGATTGGCAGGGGGGGGCGGTGCAGCGCCGAAGGAAGGCCCTGCAGGACCTGAGGGGGAGGTGGGGGTGGGCAGGGCCCGCGGGGGTGCGGCTGGCCGCCTTCTGGCCTCCGCGCGGAACGCAGTGGCCGTGGTGTCACAGCCGCCCTCGGGAAGGAGGGTCCGGGGTTGCGAGGAGAGGCCTCCGGGTTGTAAACGGGTGTAGGGAAAGGTGCGCCTTGGGGAAGCGCTGCGCGCGGGGCGAGTTGTTTGGTGGTGCTGTGTGGAAGGACTGCTGAGGAAAATGGAGATCTACGAACGGCTTTCAGTCCTGGCTCCTTCCGCGTGGGAGCACTAGGCGATGGGTCTCTCTTCTGTTCCCGGGCTTTAGCAAAGTTGAGGGTTGGGTGTCGGAGCGAGTGCAGCCCGGCACTGTCAGCGGGGCTGTGAAGGGGTTTCCGAGGGAAAGCGCGGGCCACCGACAGCTCTCGCCCCTGGTCCCTTCAGTGTGGGAACCTGCGCTGAAGGTTTTTGCTTTTGAAGCCAGGCCGTGGTCAGTGAGGCGATAGGGGAGTGAGATCCTTAGGAGGCAGCACAGGTGCCGAGTCCCCGTGTTGGGCAGCTGCGACAGGGCTGCCAAGGGAAGGTGAGGGCCAGCAACAGCTCTCCGTCCTGGCCCCTTCTGCGTGCGAGCCCTAAGCGGGAGGCTTGGCGTGCAGAGCAGAGGTGGCCTCCTTGGGAAGGACCAGCCAGCCCACTCTGATCCAGCAAATACTGGGATATGAAGGAAGTAAAGTACACTCAATCCATCTCAGCCAAAATAATTGTATTTTTTTTTTAAAAAAAAGCAAAATCATTAATTCAAACGAAAGCGCGTGTGTCAGTCTCAGGGCAGAATGGCACTCAGTTTGAAACAAGTCCTTCTTAAATTTGGAATGGGCTGGTCACTTTCAAGAGCTCAGAGTTTGAATATCTGATGCTCTGTTTGATTTCTGTATGATAACAGCAGGAAGACTGCTCTGTCCCTAGAGGAGATCATGGCTTGCCAGACTGCAGTGGAGTCAGTATGAAGTCTCTTCTTTGAACGAGTAGGAGCTGGGATCTGTCCTTTGTGGACAGACCCACCCAGCCACACATTTCTGCCTGCTGTAATTTCCAGGATGTGGCTGAAGGCTTCAAAGCACACAAACATGACCAAATCTGGAAGCATGGACACTACAGACTGAGCCTCTCCCTTACCCTTAAGATCATTCACTGTCAATGAAAAAAAAAAAAAAAAAACAAACCAAAAACCAAAACCAAACTTCTGGTCAGAATTTTCCCTTCTAGTGTTCTGTGTCTAATGATGCAATTTTCAGATGTTGTTCTTTCAGAAGGAAACATAAAGCCTAGAAGAAAGCAAGGAGAGCAGGAGAAAAAGAAGAGGGATTTAGCTCTATTAATCTTATCAGGGGGAGAAAGAAAACAAAAGAATAAATCACTAAAAACCCATCTATACCCCCAGATTCAGCAGCATTCATATCTACGTATGTTTAGCCATAGCAGATAGGAATGTAATTTGGACAGTGATAAGGTAATTAATAGCTTAAAAAAAAAATCATCTGTATGGTTTTTATTATGCACAAAGGCAACCAAAAATGTCTTGTTAGGTCTTTTTTTTTTTTTTTTTTTTTTAGTCTTCCAGGTGCCTTTTACCTTTGAAATATTAAAAAAAAAAAAACAAACCCAAATCTGCCTTCACTCATTCCACCAGTTTTGTCATATCTTTGTCCTCAGTCAACATTTTCATCTACACATTGAAATCAAGGAGGGAGTCAGACAGGTGGGAACAGATGTTGGTGTTAATTATTTTGTTCTCCAAATAATTGTGAAAGCTGTCATGAATTAGGGAGTACCAAGATAGAGTGCTTACTTTAACATGACTGTAAGCTCCCTGAAGCTAACCTTAGTAAAGACGTGAAAAGTATTGCGTTATGCAAGGCTGCAGGGATTGCAACTTACCCAAGCCTGACTTGGCTCTGTTCAGCTGGCAAATGTAAACCTTACAGATAATCCTGTGAGCAGTTCCCAGCGGTCCTGACACTGACACCTAGGTCAGGCTCTATTCACCTGTTAACCCACAAGGAGCAAGTTAGGTACTTCTGAAAGACCATCCTAATCAGAACATTGTGCTTTTATGGTGGCATACAGTGTGTATATGCACAGCTGAAGTTCTCTGTCTCCTCTTCTAACCTTGTTTCTTCAGCTAAGGGCATGAGGTGATCCTGCCTCTCATGGCTGCAACGGTAGCCATCTGCAGGCTTTCAGTGTGGCCTGTGCTTTTGTAGCAACCTTTCACTGCTCAGCAAAGGTTAATCAATTTTTTCCTCATAATTGGCGTAATTTCTAGTACATTATGAGTATCATCAGCATGGACCATATATGCTTGGTGCTCTAAGACTTCCCTAGTAATTAATTGTGATCCTTGTGATCCAAAGAAATCAAAATAATCAATGACAAGTCACACAATCTGTGCCTTGGCAGACTAAAATAATTTCAGTTTACCACGATGGATATGTAGCTCTTGAATTAAATACATTTGGTTATCTCACCCCAGCCCTCCAAGATTTGATGGCTTCTATACATGCAACGTGGCTTCTTTGTAGCAGCTTTTCTTATCCAGTATACCTACCTTTCATTATTTTTACTTTTGTCTATTTTTAAACAGATTTTAAATATGGCAAAGCAAAAATGGCAAAAAGCCTTAAACCTGGATCTGGTCTGGCAACCTGGCTATGTATCTCCAGTGTAATTTTGTGTTGTTCTGTTTTGGTGTGGTTTTGAATTAATTCAGTCTCTCAAGTTGCATAAGTCCAGCAGTTTTAATAGAGACAAGCAATTCTCTTTGTTGTCTTGAAACAGAATCATTCTGCTTATTGGAATTGAATTATTCAAGACCTTCAGAGCACAAATTTATTGGGTGCAGTCTCAGCTGCTTGAGCAGCTATTTTCCAAGTTTGCTTGCTACTCAGAACAGCACTGCAGTTTTATTTTAAACAGGACCACAACCATTTGGTTTTTTTCCCTGTTATCTCCCATGATATCTGAAAATGAAGGTTTCCACTTCACAATTAGGATGTAAGCACAGGTAAGTCAGTGTCCCACATCAGCTTGTTGCTGATAGCCTGAGCGGCAAAACAAATTGGTAGTAAGTGAATTGAAGAACAGCTCCAAAATGTAACTTTCTTCAGATAAGTATATGCATGTTTGTTTGCCAGGGAGCAGAGGGTGAGAGCAAAGAGGGCCCTCCCTGATAAGGGCACCTTCCCTTGGCATCTGAGCAAGGTGAGCGGGACAGGTCCTGTGACAGCGAACAAGGTTGGCCACACTGTTAGACACAGACTATTTGCCTTAGTGATGAGGCAAATCCAAGGTTGTCAAGCTGGAAAACTGATTTGGGATTAGGCTGGGTGCAAGGCAGCTGCAACAGGGCACCGAGGATGAGAGCCTCAGCTTAAAAGCTACTCCCAAGTGAAGTGGGGAGCCCTACTGGGGCCTTGCAGCACAGTTTACTCCAGCAGCTCATTTCAAGGCAGGACACCTGCACCCTGTGTCTAAGCATGCCCCAGAGGTCTGGCAGCCAAAAGCCCAGGAGGGCTGGAGGGAGGATATCCTCAGGGCCCTGAGTGTGCAGATGCACAAAATGGCCACACACACCTTTCTGTGAGATGATGCAGGAAAAGTGAAGGACCTTACAAAATGAAATGTCCGAAAGGGTATAGAACTTTTTGTCAAGAAGAAAAGGTTGCAAAACTCTGTAGTGTACATTACTGACCAGTGAAAATCACCGAGTGATTTCACGTACCACAAATCATGCCCATGCCTTGCCACATCCTCCTTTTCTTACACGTTCCAGGCCACCCCTGTATACTAGCCTCTTATTGCTATGAGTCAACCATCTCAGACACTGTTGTAATACTGAGTAACACCAAGTAACACCAAGCTCTGACAGCACAGTAATGTCTCAGGCTTTTATCTGGCTTGATCTTTTTCCATTAAACACCTTCTCATGAAGATACAGTAGCAATTCAACAGATATTTAAACAGAACAGAGTTGCCATGTCTTGCCCTGCTTCTTTTAACCAGTAAAATGGATACTACTAACCTCACTTGACTGAGTTGTCAACAGGGTTACCAACTATCCTGTGGCAGTCGGACATAACAGCGAACATATAGTGTGCATCTGTGATTGCAACAGTGGAAAGATGGTTTGGGAAAATAAATATGCCCCTCTTTTCCTAAATAATATCATTTTTAGAATTGACTATTCACTTTTAGTGTATTAATTTTTCTTGAGTGGGACAAGCATTTTGTTTTTAAATTTATTGAACTGCAAAATGATCACTCAGAACATGTCACAGGTTTTGCTTACAGTTTATAAATCAAAATAAAACAAACGTACCTTTCCAGTGCTCTGTCAAACTAGCTAGACTTTACAGACTCCTTGGAAAGTGAACACTTGTAGATGCCATTTAAGCAGTAAGTAATATGTCATTGCTTTAGAAATGACATAATGTTAACTTTTCAGGTGGTGAAAACCCACTTAACTTCTGTAGATCTGATCCAATAATTCTCCATGGCTAGGGTTTGCTCCCAGTGTCTGGTATTACTATTTTGTACACCTGATATAGTCTTACCTATGGTAATATTATCTCTGAAAAGATGACTGGGAGACCAGGTGAACACAAGCACTAGTCAATATCCATTGAAAAGTATATGTGTATAGGTCTAATATGCTGCTGACC